CAAAAAAAAAAAAAAAAAAGAAGTCCCCCTTAATTCCTCCCTCTTCCTAATGCCCCACAGCCAATCAAATATCAAATCCCATCCATTTTAACTTTTAGCTATCTCTTGATTCCATCTGTACTCCACCATTTTCATCCAGGATGTCTTTAACTTTCACTTGTACTGAGAGAAACAGCCTCCTCATGAGTTCCCTATTCCTGCACCTGGCTATCTCTAGGACATTCCTTTCATGGTAGCCTACATAGTCTGTTCAAAATTCAGCTAATCAAGTCCCTTTCTTGACTCAGGATAAGATCCCAAATCCCTAATGGCTTACAGGGAACTCCGAGCCCTTTCCCCACCTACTCTTTTGGCATCTTCAGTTGCCACTTGACTCCTAGCTCTTCCCATGCCAACCATGCTGCATCTCTTAGGTTCCTCAAATGTACCACGGCACCTCTGCATCTTTGCACAAGTTGTCTCACTGCCTGGTATGCCCTTTTTTCCTATTTAGCTAATGCCTGTTTATCCTTCCAGGCTCAGCGATGAGGAGACTGTCTCAGGGAAGCTTCCTTGACTTTTTAGAATAGGTTATGTTAATCTGCCATGCGTGCCACACTTTTTTTCATGGTTGAATTTAGTTATTTGTGATCAGTTGTTTAATGTTTGTCTTCTCCCATTGAAATGAGGACATTAATGTATTCATATCATTTATGGCAATATCTCCAGTGCCTTGCCAATGTCCAACACACAATTAAGGCTCAATAGATCGTTGCTGACCAGATGTTTGAAATACAGCTCTTCCGAGTTATGGAGTGCATTTGAATGTGCAGCTTAAACTTGAGCACTAATAGTCCATCATTTTTGTGCTTTCCTAAAGTCCTTTGACCTTTATTTTCCATTTCACAAAACTTGTTATGTATATAATATACTACCCTCTTCCTCTTTTTCCTCTTCCCAGTGATGTGTCACAAATTAGTGTCTTTTTATTGGGTGAGGCCCAGGTAATCTCCCTGTTTATAGCTCTGACCTTTCTGTACGCAAACACACAAAGTGAACTTTGGTTTATATCCTACAGTAATGTAGCTGCTAATTACTAGTAAGTAGGCTGTATTCCGTGGCCCATGTGACCAGTTGAGCATGACCAGAGAGGAACGTGGGGAAAAGCAGTCTGAAAGACTCCACTGGAGACTGTGCATCTGGATTTTTGGCTCCCTAGAAACCTAGACCAAAGCAAGTGGGCACAAGGAGTATGATTTTGATGTGACCGAGGTCATGAAAACAGCACTGTTGGGCTTGGCTTTGTGGTCACTGCTTTTCCAGCCTAGGCTGCTGCTCTGTTCCTCTCAGGTGAGTCAGAACTGTCACAATGACAGCTACGAGATCAGCGTTCTCATGATGAACAACTCAGCCTTCCCAGAGCCCTTGGAAAACTTGGAAAATGCGGTGAATGAAGGGCTGGAAATAGTGAGAGAACGTCTGCAAAATGCTGGTAAGAAGATGGTAATAAAATCCTCTTCTACTCTGTTACCACCTCTGAGGACAAAGGGTTACTAAGTGATGACCTTGTGTACTTTGCCCGACCACCCAACCTTCTCTAAGGGCTGTCCCTAAATCCCTTTCCATTTTAAGACGTAGATGCTCAGAAAGAAGAATTTGGACCCTACTGTGTGTGCTCATTCACAGTTTACCCTGCTCTGGGAATGGCCCTGACACAGGAAAGGTAGCGTTCACAGTACTTAAATGACTCAGTTGAAACTGGGTTTATTACTCAGTTCCAGAGAGGTGTCATATTGCCTTCTGTAGCTGCTCAAAGACAAGATTTGGTCTTGACCTAAAATTTTACTAGGTTACCAATCAAGAAGATGAATTAAGAGAGTAAAATTTGTACAAACACCAAATCTTTCTCTGGGCCTTTTATCCAGAGAAAAATATTTATTTGTTTGGGCTGTTTCACTCTTTTACCTCTCTGGTGGCTGACACTATCAGATTTTGTTAATCAAAGCTTACAGTCGAATTCACTATTGCAGTTCTTCATTGTGTTATAAAAATAAGCTTTATAACATCACACAAAATATGTAAAATAAAGAGGGAAAATCTCCTATGAAAACTTCCAGCCACCTGAATGTTTCCAGTCTGTTTTCATATGCATCTTAGTTTCTTGTTTTTAATAATGTGGTTGGTGATCACTGTGGCAGAGAAACAATTTTATATTCTCTGGCTCACTTCACAGTATTCCACAAGTGACTTTCATTTAGAAGTATAGTCTTTATAATCACCATGTGTAAGGATCTGCACTGTCCTTTCAGATGTATGTCTTACAAATTACCTAATAATGTCTTATTGTAGGATATTTCATTTGCTTTTAAACTTTCATGATTATTTGTATAATACAATAAACATTTTTATGGATACAGTTTTTTTCCATTCCCTGAGACTAGATTACTAGATTTACTGAGTCAACAAGTATTTAATACATCTTATAGGTTATTTCTAGTTTTAAGGATAGTATGTCTTAATTTTCTCTATTTAAAATCCTGGAAATAAGGGCAACAGTTCAGATATTTATAACTTACTTGTGTGAACATACAACATCTCTCCAATTCTGCCTGAAACTGGATTCAGATGTAAGTGAATAGATCTGATTAGAGTGGTAAAGGAATGAGGAGGAGGTCACTTAGTAAAATTCCCTTATTTGCCGAGGTGTTGTTAGAGAGCAGAAAAAACAATGGATTTGAAGTCTGAGGACCTGGATTGGGGTCCCTGCCCCCAATTTTTCTCTCTGTAAGTGAGTAATGCGCCTCTTCGTTTTTCTGAGTTTCAGTTTCCTTATTTATTACTTGTCATGTGTCAAGTAAGTTCTAAGTACTTCAATTGCATCATCTCTTTAATCACCACAGCTCTGGGCGATTAGCATGGTTTACACCAGTTTCATAGTAGGGGTTTGATAACTTTACTAAGGTCACATAGGTTGTCTGTTTGAAATAAAATGTAAATCCATCTCTGTCTGGGTCCAAAGAGTGCATGGGTCACTCTTTGGAACCCACTGCAAAAATTTTTACCCAGCATGAATCAACTTTCTTGTTAAAACAAGGCAGTGGAGCATTATGGTTAGAAACAGAGATTTGGAACCTGTCAGATGTGGGTTCATATTTTTGCCAGACTATTCATTCATTTACCACAGGTATTACCTTGAGAAAGTTACTGAAGTTTTTTGAAGCTCAGTTTTCTCACTTATAAAATCAGGATAAATGGTAGTGTGGATTTGATCTGGAAATTCATATGAAATATTCATACACTGACTGAAACATATTAAGAACTCAAATGGTAGTTCTTTTCATTGTTGTTTCTGTTGTTGTTGAAGATTTTAATGCAGGATTGTTGCTGTGCCCTGTTGCCACTGTTGGAGAACAAGAACACATGGCTGAGCACATACATAAAATAGTATGTTAGTTAATGTCTTGGTCTCTGAACTCATGCACCCTGAATTTGAATTTCTGTTCCATCACTTACAGTTGAGTGACATTGGGTGAGTTATTTATTTTCTCTAAGTTTCACTCATGTAACTTGCAAAATAGGGTTATTAATGGTGAGGTTGTTACAGGGATTATATATATATAAAACTCCATGAAGATGAAAGAATAAATAGTGATGTTAACACATTTTTGCATTTGAGAATGCATTTTGTGGGTTGAAGTTCACACATAGTAAACACAAAGATAATAAATTTGGGGGGAAGAGAGTATGCTCTAAACATTTTGAGCATTATTATTTGGGAAAAATTATAAGCCAATATATCTGAGGGGTAAAGTGAAGAAAATTAAGAGTTCAGAGGTTAAGTATGATGTTTAAAGGAAAGTGATCGATATCTGTTATAGGACTTAGAAAAGCTTTGAGGGTCTTGAAGAACAGAGACAATTTGCTGGAAAACAATGTAAAAAAAAATTTGTTCAACCTCACAATATCAACTCCCTGAGGATGTATATTCCAGGGTTAATTGCCTGGCTCATAACCTGCATATTCTCCCATGTGCTGAGGGGTTGCCTTTCCAAGACCCTAGAACTTAAACTCCAGCTTCATGTTGGTTCAGCTCCATCTTCAAAGCCCCGGATAGAAGAGAGAGCATTTTGAGATCACCTATATTGTTCCGCTTTCCACCCATAGTCCCAGGACTAAGATATCATGGTGAGGTAAAGAATGCCTGTAGAAGAGAGATGAAAAGTAGCGTTCACTTTTTCATTTTTTTAACAGCTTTAAAGGTACAATTTTTGGATACCTGGATATTTTGTTTAGTAGTGAAGACAACTGAGCTTTAAGTGTAATCATCACTCCCAATAATGTACATCGTATACGATTGGTAATTTTTTTTTTTTTTTTTTGGAGTCTCACTCTGTTGCTCAGACTGGAGTGCAGTGGCCGCTCCCAGCCACCGCAGCCTCGCCTGCTGGGCTCCGGCGATCCTTCCGCCTCAGCCTTCTAAGTAGCTGGAACTACAGGCGCGTGCTACCACTCCCGGCTGATTTTTTGATTTATTGTAGATTGGTAATTTTTTATCCCTCACCTTCCTCCCACCCTCACTCCCTTCTGAGTCTCCAATGTCCATTATACCATTCTATACACCTTTGCAGACTCATACCTAAGTTCCCACTTACAAATGAGAGCATGTGGTATTTGGTTTTTGATTCTTGAGTTACTTTACTTAGGATAATGGCCCCCAATTCCATCCATGTTGCTGCAAAAAAAAAAACATGATTTCATTCTTTTTTATGACTGAGTAGTATTCCATGGTATTTTTTTATCTGCTAATCAGTTGATGGGTACTTAGGTTAATTCTGCATCCTTGCAATTGTGAATTATGCTGCAATAAACAGATGAGTGTTGGTGTCTTCTTTGTACAATGACCTATTTTCTATTGGGTAAATATCAAGTAAGTAATGGAATTGCTGGATCAAATAGTAGATCTACCTTTAGTTCTTCATATATATATATTCACACACACACACACACACACACACACACACACACATATATAGTTTTAAAGATGTGTGGTACAATTCAGAATTAGGTATACAATCATACAGGTAAAGTTTGGGCCGCCCTTTGGTCCCCACTTTGCCTGGTTTGAGATTAAGTACACTTACTGATGTATCCTTTCCCACCCCAGCAGTATTCCACTACTGCCAATCTCTTTCTTATAGTATTATGAAAAATGTTCAGGGTTCGCTTATGAATGAGAACATGTGGTACTCTGTTCTTTGTTTCTGCAATAGATCACTGAATACGATAGACTCTAAATCCATCCAAGTTGGTGCAGAGTCCATATATTTGTCCTTCTTTATGGCTGCATAATATTCCTTCATGTATATGTACCACATTTTTTAAATTCAGTCCAGTTTCAATGGGCAGCACAGTTGGTTCCATGTTTTTGCTATCGTGAATAGTGCTGCAATAAACATGCGTGTGCAGTTATCTTTTTTGTAGAATGATCTGAGTTCCTCTGGGCATATCTCCAGTAGGGGGATTGCTGGGTCATGTGGAAGGTCATTTTTGAGAAATCTCCATACCATTTTCCATATAATTTGTACTAATTTACATTCCCATCAACAGTGTGTAACCAGTCCCTTTTTATTGCATCTACAACAACATCTACTGGTTTTTGACTTTTTTACAATGGCCGTTCTGACTGTGGCAAAATGGTATCTCATTGTGGTTTTAATTTGCATTTTCCTGGTAATTAGTGATGTTAAGTGGTTTTTCATGTCTGTTAGCCATTTGTATATCTTCTTTTGAGAAATGTCTGTTCATGTCATTTGCTCACTTTTTAATGGGGTTATTTGTTTTTTTCTTGCTGATTTGTTTGAGTTCATTGTAGATTCTGGATATTAGTTCTTTGTCAGATGTATAGTTTGTGAATATTTTCTTCCATTCTGTAGGCTGCCTATTTACTCCATTTATCATTTCTTTTGCTGTGTAGAAGATTTTTAGTTTAATTAAGTCCCAATTATCTATTTTGTTTTTATTGTATTTGCTTTGGTGGTCTTAGACATAAATCTTTGTCTGGTCCAATGTTCAGAAGAATTTTTCCTAGGTTTTCTTCTAGAATTTTTATGGTTTCAGGTCTTACATTTAAGTCTTTAATCGATCTTGAGTTAATTTTTTGTATACGGTGAGAGATAGAAATCAAGTTTCATTGGAGCCACATTCTTCTGCATGTGGCTACTCAATTTTCCCAGCCAGCACCACCATTAAATAGAGTGTCCTTTCCCTTGTGTATGTTTTTAGTGTGCTTTGTCAAAGATCAGTTGGTTGTTGGTATTTGACTTATTTTTTATTTCTCTGTTCTATTGGTCTATATGTCTGCTTTTGTACCAGTACCATGCTGTTTTGGTTACTACAGACTTTGATTTGCAGCCATACACTGTCCAAAAAGCATTCAATATTTTCTTGAGAAATCAACTGAGATTGAGAGAAATAAAAGGGAAGATATTTCCCATCAAATTAAAAGAAAGAAAAAACAGTATACATAACTGTGCAATATGGAAATACAGCTTCTTACAGTATGTTCTGAAGAAGCAGAAGTGGATCCCAAACATTTTGTTTTCAGAATCTCTTTAAATTTTTTTAAATTGTTGAATGTGCTGAATAATTTTGCTTATGTGGTTACATATATCAATACTGTATTGAAATTTAAAACTGAGAAATATTGTAAACATTTGCTTATTAATTCATTTTTTTAAAATTTACTGTTGACGTAAGTTACATTTTTACAATGAAAACATATTTTTCTCAAGCCCCCCCCCCAAAAAAAGTGAGTGAGAAGAGTGTTTTACACTTTTGTCTATGTCTTTAATGTCAGGCTTACTGGAAGATGTTTATATTCTCATATTGGCTTCTATATTCAATCTGTTGCAAGGACATATGTCATGTAGCCTCTAGAGGATTCTATTTTATGCTCATGAGAGAAGGAGGGTGGAAAAGGAAAAGCATATCTTAGTATAATTATAAAAATAGCTTTGATCTCATGGATTCTTTGAAAGGGATTCAGGTTTCCTCAATGGTTCACACTTTTTTTTTGTTTTGTTTTTGAGATGGACTCTCACTCTGTTGCCCAGGCTGGAGTGCAGTAGTGACATCATAGCTCACTGCAAACTTGAACTCCTGGGCTCAAGCGATCCTCCCATCTAGGATTATAGACATCAACCACTGTGCTTAACCTAAATGGTGCAATTCTTTTTCTTTTAAAAGCATAGGAAGTCTTCCCAAGGTCTCTCTTTATTCAACAGTGGCTCACACTTTGAGAACTGCTATTCTAAGCATATTAAGTTCTGTAATTAGAGTGACCTAGGTTCAAATCCCAGCTCCACTACTTGCTAACTATGCATCCGTAAGCAAGTTAATCTACCTATCCAGACCTCCATTTTCTCAATTTCCTATCAGGATAATAAAATATTGATTACTTTGAAGGATTCAGAGAAGGATTACGTGGAGTAATGTATGTAAATTTCATAGCCCAATGTCTGGCATATGGTAAAGGAGATCATCTTCTATCCTATCAAGAAATGGATGAGGAACTGAGGTTGCGAAGTCATTTGTCTTAGGTCATGCTCAACAGATATTGGTTCCATTTTTCCCAACCCTGTGCAGGGATTATTCTTGAGTTTTGCTATGCTAGGTTATAGGCTGCCTGGAGTCTAGGATTTTTAAGTGAGTAATCTTCAGTGTCCTTCATAGTAAAAGGAGGGAGCAGAGCCCTCATAGAGATAGGAGATCTAGAAAGAACAGTTAGCTTGCACATTAATAGCTGCAAGTGTGGTCATCTTCCTGAAGTGTGGCCATGGTAGCTCCGACCCACCTGAGGACTTCCTGAGGGTATTCACATGTTCTTACCATAATTGCTTACTCTGTGATCTGAAATACTCGGAGAGGAAGGGGCTAAAATTAGTGATACAGCAAGATTAGTTGGTACTGAGTAGTGATACAGCAAGATTAGTTGGTACTGAGTAGTGTTGCACCTGTGAAGGCCTTGACCTCCTAAGGGAAATTACAGTAAGTATTTGCCTCTGTAGATGCAGCTCACAACCTCTGAGCACAGGAATATTACAATGTGAAACATGGGCACTTGTCCATGGCTCCCATCCTCTCTAGCCCTCTGACTACCCCTGTGAATTTTCCCAGTGACAAGGACCTTTCAAGAATTCAGGAAAGTGGAGAGAAGCTTAGTCAAATTTTGGTAATTTCCTCATGCATGAATTTGGAGCTGAGATGTTAAAAACACACAATAGGTTTGGGATGAGACACCATGGCTTCAATTTCATTCCCACTATTTACTGCCTATGGGACTCTGGGATGAGAAACCCAATAAAGATTTTGTCTCAGGTTCTGTTTTCTAGAGAATTAACCAAGACGTTCTTTTTGTGCTAAAATTGTAAATCTGAGACAAAGATATGACAGTTTTTCCAATAAGCGTGACTGGATTAATCACTATTTCTGATGAGTATGTTTTCAACTGCTTGCCAGTTATCTCTATTTGCAAATCTTACAGGCATCTCACATCTGACATGTCCCCCTGAACTCTTGATTCTGCCTTATCATACTACATTAACAAACCTGCTTCTCCCATATTCTTTCCCATCTTGGTTAATAACATTTCCCTTCACCCACTCGCTCAGGCCAAAAATATTGAGGTTCTTTGGAGTCCTCTTTTTATCACACTTCATATCCCATTTATCAGCAAATTCCTACCTTCAAAATATATTCAAAATGCCACCACTTTTCTCTACTATTGTTACCACTATTCCAGTTCAAGCTAACCTTGGCTGTGAATAACCCTTTAAATAGTCTCTCGGCTTCTGTTATTGTCCCCCACAAGTTATTCTCTGCATCAGAATTCAGAGATGTCCTTTAAAAATCATAGTCAGACAATATTATTTCTCTGCTCAAAATCCTTCAAAGGTATCTCAACCCAGAATAAATAGAAAACCCTTACTAATGCCTACATGACCATGCATGCTGTGGCCTGTCTCATACCTCATCTCCTGCTCAGTACCCCTCACTCCCTCTGCCATGAGCACACTAACCTCCTTGCTATTCCTGAATCATGCCAAGAATGGTCCTGCCCAGAATTTTTGCCCTTGTTCTTCCCTCTGACCAGAAACCAATAGATGTATGGCTCACTCTCATGTCACAAAGGCCCCGGATCCCTCTAGGGGCTTCTGTGACCACCCTGTCAGAAACAGCATCATGACTCCCCAAAGGAAATGTAAGCCTTGTGAAGGCAGGCATTTCTTTTGTTCACTGTTGTATCATGAGCTCAAAAAAGAGTGCCTGGAACATGCACATAGCAGAAACTTAATAACTATTTTTGACTGGATAGATGGGTGAAGATCAGAATCCACCTGCGACATGAGAGAACAGGTTACCATAATGTCTACATCTTTGTTTCCTGACAGTCTTCAGTCCCATACAGGAAACTCGCTGAGTCTAGGGTTGTGAAAAGAAGATGAAGAGAGCAGTGAACACCATGAAAATATTCTAAAACTGGATTGTAGGGATGATTGCACAACTCTCTATATTTACTAAAAACCATTGAATAGTACACTTAAAGTGGATGGTTTTTATAGTGGGTAATACCTCAATAAAATTGTTGAAAGATAGAGACATAGACAGAGATAGACATAGACATAGAGAGAGGAAAGAAGTGACTGGCAGTAAAACAGAGACTCCGAACTCAAATATTCTTTGGCCTGAAAATGGATATAAATTTTTTCCCAGGATCAATCTCACAGCTGCTATAAACTACTGAAAAAAATAACACTGGTTTTCTATTTTTTATCATTTCTGGATAATAGGCCTAAATGTGACTGTGAATGCTACCTTTATCTATTCAGATGGTCTGATTCACAAGTCAGGTGACTGCCGGAGCAGCACCTGTGAAGGCCTTGACCTCCTAAGGGAAATTACAGTAAGTATTTGCCTCTGTAGATGCAGCTCACAACCTCTGAGCACAGGAATATTACAATGTGAAACATGGGCACTTGTCCATGGCTCCCATCCTCTCTAGCCCTCTGACTACCCCTGTGAATTTTCCCAGTGACAAGGACCTTTCAAGAATTCAGGAAAGTGGAGAGAAGCTTAGTCATATACTACCTGTACATTTTCAGTGGTACAGAGAAAAAATATTTTGTTTAAAATTGTTTTAATTTCAATATTGGTATAAACTGGTTTGCCTTTGTGTCTTTCAAGAAATACCAGAGTAGTCATGTTTGAAAACATATTTCAAGACTCCAAACCAGGAATCTCCGTGTCAAGTCACCATATATTGGGTCACAGATTAATGGCTTAGGGGATGAAGCAGACACCAAACTTTAAAGCAGCAACTGCAATGTCAGTGGGATGAAAATGGGAAAAGAGAGATTCTTGCTTAGTTTCTCTTCCCAACTTTTAACCCTCAACTTCAACCAAATCTTTACCGAGCTAAAGAGTGTTACAAGCTCTCTAGAGACAAATAGGTAGGCATGGCACCTCTTTCACTACAGAAACCAACAAAAGGCTGTCCAAGAAGTAGAGCACTTAGAGTAGAGCCATGGCTCTAAAATGTTAATCAATAACATTACACCAACCGGACAAATCACACATCTGTCAGAAAGAGAGGCTGATTACAGCAGCAAGTCTCAGTCTTAGCAGGGTGAGGAGCAGACAAGGATAGTTTGATAAACTCCATGTCACAGTTTCAGATGAGTGTGCTGCTTCTCCTGCCTCTACAGAGACAGGTATTTCCTGGTTCTCCAAAACTAGGGATAGGATGCTCCCAATAAGGTTTCCCTTGAGAAACAGGAGAAAATAAGAGCAATCATGCCCAGAATGACCCAGTCAATTACATTGTGTTTTGTTCCCTTCAACCCTGCTTTGCAACGCTCCCTAAAATTAAAACTTGCCCTGCCCTTTCAAAGCACCTCCAAGTCTTATCTCCCCACAATCTGGTCTAATGATACTACTCATGGTACAGCCTGCCATTTCCTCTTCTGCCTCTTCCCATCCTCCATTGATAAAGAATCCAGGTTCATCTTCAGTCAGCTCACCTTTGTGGAGAACCTTCCCCTCCTTGCAGCATCTCTTCTTTCTCAGACCCCTTCATGCATTCATCAGTCCTGGCCTAGCCCAAGGCACTCTATGCTGCTCCTTTCTGTTCCATGTTCCAGCATTCTAAGAGGTCTCACTTTCTAACTTTCTGGAAGCTTTCCCTTTGCTGCTTCTTTCCTGTCCGTTGAACAATTATTTTACTTTTAAGAACTAGTTGTTATTGTTTTCTCTCCTACAGCGTAAACAACAGATGGGCTGTGCCCTCATGGGGCCATCATGTACATATTCCACCTTCCAGATGTAGTAAGTAGTCTGGTTTGCTGTTTTTTATTTAATACGACCATTGTTTAATACTAATTAAAGTTAGGACATGATATTACAATTTAAATGGTTCACTAAACAACAGTTTAGTCTGGGCAACACAATCAAGGGTTTTGAGGTCTAGTATTTTGCCATCTCCCTATAACTGCAATTCTCTTAGCCAGACATCTATACTTGTTCAGCATAGGGTGAATTATAGCAATTATTCAAGTCAAGTCACTAACATCTGACCTTGACACAACATAGTAGAGGTAAAAAGTCAGAGTTTTGATAGAAAGCAGGGAAGAAGTAACTTGGAAATTTTGAGGAGTTTAATAAAGAAAATATTGACAAAAGTAGAGGTAGAGGGTAGGAAAACACAAAATGCAGCACCCCAGACTATTAGCAGGGTTCTGTCCCTAGGTCTGTGAAAGTAGAGAAAACAGCAATATACTTAGGTCATAGAGTCACTTGAGGATTATGCAATTATGTCCTTTGTACAGTGCCTTTACCATCTTAGAAAAAAGTCTTTCAATATATTCTAGAATAAAAATATTTTTCTAGCCTTGGAAAAATCACTCCCATCCCTTCCATTAATTTCACAATGTAATTTTCATCACCACAAAACATTTTGTTCTGTTGATCACACCTTCTCCAACCAAAATCCTGCTCACATGCCTGTCTTTCACCTGTTCAATCTAACCCTGAAGCAAGAACCTACCCTTCATCCACAAAGAGAAAACTGTGAAGAAGGACCCCTTGCAATAGATTTTGGAGGGTAAACATCAGACCTCCCAAATTTCTGTTGCATAGTCTGCTTTTGATGCCCCATACTCATCAGTACAAACAGACTCAAATGCTCAGGCTCAGTGCATACCACAGACACATCATGGAAGCACATTTTGAGCCCATCTTCCACACCAAAATGCAGACTAATACACAATCTTACTCTTCCTTTTACACATTCCCAACTGCCCTCTTATCTGATCACTTACAAATATTGCCATAGAGTATGCAGAGAAGGAAAGAAGGACAGAGAAAATTAATTTACTATTTATAAAGGCCTTCCATATGCAAAGAAGCACCTTGGTTGTGTCAGAGTAGACAATTAAGTAAAATACAGTCTCTGTCCAGCCAAATAGAGAAGGTGACAAGGACTCTGATGACCAATACAAGGACTCTGATGACCAATACAAGGTGACCAATACAAGGCAGAGTGAAATAGGTCTCAACAGGAAAATACAAACAAGAAGTTGTAGAATGCACAGAAAGGAAGGGTAACTTCTGTGGGTTACACTTCAAGAGGGGAAGAAATTCATGAAGGTTACAGTATATTTTGCATGCTGAAGAATGGGGCAAAATTGTATTGTGTAGAGAAATAAGGGGATAAATTTTCCAATCAAGCAGAGAAAGAAGTATGTGTAATAGCAAAGAAGCAGGGAAGTAAAGAACATTTGTGAAAGTCTGTGTTAACTGAAGTTCAAGAAATATATAGGAGAATAATAGAAAAGAGTAGAAGAAATAAGTAGATCTCTATTTGGAAGTTTATAGAAGGGGAGCATAGGTGAAGGAAGTTGCATTTTATGAGATTTGTATCAGATACCTCTATGGTTTTGAGCTTGGGAGTGCCATGAGAAGAAGCTCAACTTTGGGAAGAATAATTGTCTACCGTGTATAGGAAAGACAAAGGCAGAGACTGATGACAGAGAGCCAGCAGAGAAGGAGAGTCTGAATTACCAAGAAAGCAGTGGACATGGAAAAGAAGGATAGATGTGAAGATATTTTAAGAGATAATCAATAGTATTTGAAAATTGATGGGCAACCCCTTCCGGTCCCCTCCCACTGTGGGAGTTTTTTTCTGTCCTCTCAATAAATCATGTTTTCTAAATAAAAAGAAGAAGAAGAAAATTGATGTTGAAGAAAGGATGGAAAGTAGTCAAAGAAGGCTTTGCAATCTCAAAACACTAAAATAAATGAAAAAAATAAGGACAAGGAGCAGTTTTGAGGAAAGAAAATAAACAATAAGTCTGACTGTGAACACAGTAAGTTTGAGATGCAAGCAGGACACCCAGAAAAATCTTTTGATAGAGCACTAAAGAGAAAAAGGATGTTGTTTTTCTTCCTTCATTCAATATAGAAGTACCTACATACAAGCCAAGCAGACCGGAGATACCAAGGTGAACAAGCCAGGTGTGTCTCCTACCTCCAGGGAGCTTAGTATCTAGTGGAGAAGATAAATACTAAACAGCTATGCATTCAAATAATTACCTAGTTTTAGGTATCAAGGAAAGTTTTCCTGGTAGATAAAGAGATATGAAATCTGGAACTTGAGGAATTGAGTAAGAGTCAGTTCAGCAAAGAGGCAGGAAATCATTATTCCTGGCATTTGCCAAGGCCCTGTCTGGGAATGAAGCATGATATGTTTAAGGAACTACTAGATGATAAAGGTGGTGAACAGTGGAAAGAAAACTTTTAAATCCCTAGCTGTTGTCTGTCAGAGCTGGAACGAAGGCAATGCATGGAAGGGAAAGTGTAAAGGATTTCTTTCTGGCTTTACAGCAATTATGGTAGCCATGGTGGTCCATCCTCTGTTTACTTAACCCTACTCCCCAAAGCCCTTATGTCCCAGCCCAGATATCATGACAACTCATTTTAGAATAAGTCAAACTAAGGAAGTCAAGTACTCATGGAACCACCTAGAGTGTGCTTGGATCATGTACTCAATAAATGTTTTTAAATTCAACTATGTGAGACGAATACCTATATAAATGAGAAAGCTGCTTTAACTCTATTTCATTTTTACCATATATACGCACATGCTAAAACATGCTAAAGAGGAATCTTATTTGTGCTACCTAATTAATCTGGTTAATGATTTCTTTCTCACCTCTTGACATAGCCTTGACACAGTATTGAACTACCCCATGATTTCAGCTGGAAGTTTTGGATTGTCATGTGACTATAAAGAAACCTTAACCCGGCTGATGTCTCCAGCTAGGAAGTTGATGTACTTCTTGGTTAACTTCTGGAAGGCCAATGATATGTCTTTCAAAACCTTTTCCTGGAATAGTTCATATGTTTATAAGGATGGTAGTGAACCTGAAGACTGTTTCTGGTAAGCATGATGATTAATATTCTGCTAGGCCATAGAGAGAAGCCATAGAGTCATGGGCCACCTGGTTGTCATCAGATGCATCTTTCGTCTGTAACAGTATTGGAAATGTACACTAGCCCACTTTATTATACACAAATGAAAGTAAAGGTGCCAAAGTGACTACAGAGTTGGAAAAATAATCAACAGATTACATTTACAATATTCTTTCTAGCTTTGAAAGTTTTTTATATTAGTTTTATTGATTCCCCACAGTGAATATTCTGAAGAAAACAAAGCAAGAATATGATCTCCATTTTACACATAAGAAAAAACCAGAACTTAATGCTTTCATGTTGTTGCAAGATATGATACAAGAGAATGTGCATTCTACCTGTACTTACAATTACTTAGAAAAAAATTTCTCCACACCTTTACAGAGAAACAAGGGGTGGAGGAGAACAGGAAAAATGGGCACTATTTACTAAAAGAAAATTGCCAAGTTCATTCAACTCCACCAAAATAGGTAGAGGGAATCTTCTGGTTGTGTTACTATCTTTACTTTCAGATGCTGTTTAGGTCTCCACCCAAGTCTGCAAAAGACTAAGATGGGATATCAGCAGATAGGTATATCTAGGGAACTATAGGAATCAACCCTAAGACCTTACCCTAGAAGCACAGAGGTGAACTGAGAAGACATAAAAGATCATTTTACACAGGAGCAGATATTATACCTATCAACTCTAAACTTTTATACTGTAGTTTCGAAACTTTCAACTTACCTATAATAATAGCACTGGTTATAGAACAGGTAGAACCTTCCTTCTGCAAATAGTAGAAAGCTATCAGGAGGTACTCATCAAATGTCTGCTATGTATATGTATCCATGAAGATTCCCTAATACTTCCCCCATACTTTCACTAAGTTAGTTAAACATCCAAACCAGTGGTATCATGGTGTGTACTGTCTATTTTGTCAATAGTGGAAATGAATTTTAGATGAACTAGTCCCATGACAGATCTGCATGGGATACATCGGCCATGAGGGAACTAAGCTAGCTTCTTGGTTTCTCTTTTTTCTGTTCTAGGTACCTCAATGCTCTGGAGGCTGGGGTTTCCTATTTTTCTCAAGAACTTAATTTTAAGGAGATGTTGAGAAAAGAAGACCAGTTTCGGGATATCTTAACAGACCACAACAGGAAAAGCAATTGTAAGAAGACTAAAGATACCTTTTTATACCAACTTCTTCTTTATGGCTACCATCTCCTTATTAGTTATTTTGGCAAATATGCTACTGCAGAGCTATCATCACTACCTGTATATATTTTGTATATTTGAGGTATCTATAATTGCATGCAACTTCATTATATTGTTCCTCTCATTGACTAAAACCTTATCCTTATCCTCTGGGAGAAAATACAAAAGTAACATTGAGTGAAAATATTAACATAATGGAAGTAATAATAATACTAAAATCTAGCTTTTAATAATAACTAAAATTATATTATGACCCACCATAAGTAAACTGATTGGTTAAGTTCATCTTAGTCCAACATATTATTGAATTTGTAAGTAATTCTCAATATTCTGAACATGATTTTCCTGGTGACCAAGAGAATAAATTTATTGATTATATGACCTCAAGCAAAATTACAAGTTAAGCAAAGATTGTCTTACTTTCCTAATCTTTCTGTTTCTCATCTGTTCATTAATCTTCCAAGTAGAGGCCAAGTATGAAAGGATAAAATTATCTTCACTAAGTCATTAGGAGATTTATTTCACTTTTCACAGATTCTTTCTACAAACAAAAAAATTTCAGGGGCATAGGAATCAATGGTGGGAATTCCCACAAGTGAAGGTCTTTGCTTGGTGGATTTCCTGATATTGCTCAAATCATCCTCTGCCATTATCTGACAACTCCATCATGTCTAAATATAAAAGTTTTGTGTGTTTGTGTTTTGGTTTTTGTATTCAAGGGGTACATGTACAGATTTGGCTTCTACTGAGCTTGTCACTCAAATGGTGAGCATGGTACCCAGTAAAATTAACAATTATAAAATTATTCATGTCCCTAAAGAGTTTACAATTTAACTGGACAGCACAGCATATCAAAAAATGTAATGACATCTTCCCCAATAGTTAGTTTCTCTTACTCATAAAGCTGGGCATTCAGGAGATAGCTGGCAAAAATTAATAGTAGACAGATTGAACTCTGTCACTGAAATTACTCACATGTAATTTTACATGAATATGCTATAGACAAAGACAAAGGAAAGTTGGTTAGGAAGACTTCATAAACTCTACTCACATTCACTTTTACTATATATTTTCCAACCACTTTTATAAATGGTGAGGTGCACTTCACTTATCTATAAAAATAGATTTTACAAGCATTCCGGCCTGGTATAATGAAATGAGCACTGAACCAGGACTCATAAACTTGACTATCAGGGCTATCTTTGTTATCTACTAGCTCTTTGACCCTTTGGCTTCTTGACTTCAGCCTCCTTAAATCTATAAAATTAAAGGAATAAACAAGATGACTTTTTAAAAGATCTAATGCAACTTTATTCTGACTCTATAACTGTAAATTTTAAAAAGAGGGTGGGGAGGGATTGGAGGACTTGGTTTTAATCTTTTTTTAAAAATGCAACATGAACATACAGGGTTCCAATTCTGGTAGCAGGTTCCCTCCCTATTTGTGCACAGATCATCAAATATTCCTCTCCTTGTCTTGATCTGTTTCCTCCAGTGATTGTTATGTGTGGTACATCAGACACAATCAGCAAGCTCAAGGGTGACCAAGTGATGGATGAAGACATTGTCATTATTCTAGTGGATCTATTCAAGTAGGTATAATATCTGGGAGAATCCTCCTTCCTTACAAAAGAAAAAAGAAAAAACACACTCCAAGGATTTCCAGAAGACACATTCTCCTTCCTCTTGTTTTGTAGAATGTCTTATGGGGCTCAAATAATAATAATACTGGAACCAAGGTTTCATTCCTTCTTCCTCACACCCTCATTCTTATGTAATCGTGGCCCTACCAAAGGTGCATTCCTCTGACACCTCCATCATGTCTAAATATAAAAGTTTTGTGTTTGTGTTTTGTTTTTCATATTCAAGGGATACATGTGCAGATTCGGCTTCTGTTGAGCTTGTCAATCAAATGGTGAGCATGGTAAACAATAGGTAGTTTTTCAACCCCTTCCCTCCCCCTTTCTAACTCCCTTTGGAAGTCACCAGTATCTGTTGTTCCTATTCTTATGCCCATGTGTACCCAGTTATTTGCTCCCACTTGTAAGTAAGAAAATGTGCCATTTGGTTTTCTGTTTTTGTGTTAATTCACTTAGCATAATGGCCTTCAGCTATATCCATATTGCTACAAAGTACATGATTTTGTTCTTTCTTATGGATATATAGTATCCCATAGTATATATGTACTATGTGTTTTTTATCCAGGCCACCATTGATAGGTACCTAGGTTGGTTCTTAGGTTTTTGCTATTGTGAATAGTTTTGAGATAAACATACAAGTGCAGGTATTTTTTTTTTAGTAGAATAAATTTAGGAAAATATTTGGGTATATACCCAGGAGTGGGATTGCTAGGCTGAATGGTAAATCTATTTTTAGTACTTTGAGAAATCTCCAAGCTGCTTTCCACAAAAACTGAACATATATTCTCACCAACAATATATAAAAAAACAATATATAAAAACTCCTTTTGCCAATATCTGTTGTTTTTTGACTTTTTAATAATAGCCATTCTGTCTGGTATCAGATGGTATCTCATTGTGGTTATGATTCACATTTTTCTGATGATGAGTAATGCTGAACATTTTTAAAAACATGTTTGTTGTGAACCAGTATGTCCTATTTTGAGAAATGTCTGTTCATGTCTTTTGCCCACTTTTTAATTGGGTTATTTATTTTTTCTGGGGATTCATTTAAATTCTTTATATAGTCTATATTTCAGTCCTTTGTTGAATATATAGTCTTCCATTCAGTAGATTGTCTGTTTACTCTGTTGATAGTTTCTTTTGCTCTTTAATATAATTAAGTTCAGATTGTCCATTTTTGTTTTTGTTACATTTGCTTCTGAGGAATTGGTCATAAGTTCATTGCCCAGGCTGATGTCCAAATAGTGTCTTCTAGGCTTGCTTCTAGGATTTTTACAGTTTAAAGTCTTCCATTTAAGGTTTTAATCCATTTTGAGATAATTCTTGCATTTGGTGAGAGGAAGGGCTTCAATTTTATTATTTTTGATTATGGTTAGTTTTCCCAGCACCTTTAATTAAATAGGGTTTTTTCCTTTAATATTTATTTTTCTCAACTTTGTCAAAGATTGGTGAATTGTAGGTTAGTGGCTTTATTTCTGAGTTCCTTAGTCTGTTCCATTGGTCTATGTGTTTGTTTTTGTGCTAATGCCATGCTGTTTTTGTTACTGAAGCCTTGCAGTAAAGTTTGAAGTCCAGCATTTTTCTTTTTGCTTAAAATTGGTTTGGCTATTTGGGTTCTTGTTTACTTCCCTATGAATTTAAATATTGTTCTTTCTAGATCTGTGGAAAATGACACCAGTATTTTGATAAGGATTGTGTTGAATCCATAGATTGCTTTCGGCAGATATTGATTCTTCCAAACCATGAGCGTAGAATGTTCTTGCCTTTATGTGTCATCTCTAATTATTTTCCACAGTGTTTTGCAGTTCTCCTTGTAGAGATCTTTCACTTCATTGGATAGATATATTCCCAGGTTTTTGTGTGTTGGGAATGGGGCAAGTTATTATAAATGAGATTGTGTTCTTGATTGGTTCTCAGCATCTGTGTTGTTGTATAGAAAAGTTACTGATTGGTTTTGTATTTCTAAACTTTATTGAAGTTGCTCATCAGTACTAGGAGCCTTTGGGTGGAATTTTAGGGTTTTCTGTATATAGAATCATATCATCTGCAAAAGTTACATTGGTTTTGTATTTCTAAACTTTATTGAAGCTGCTCATCAGTACTAGGAGCCTTTGGGTGGAATTTTAGGGTTTTCTATATATAGAATCATATCATCTGCAAAGAAAAATAATTTGACTTCCTCTTTTCCTATGTGGATACATTTATATCTTTCTCTTGCCTGATTGCTTTGGTTAGGACTTTCAGTACCATGTTAAATAGGAGTGGTGAGATTAGACATCCTTGTCTTATTCCAGTTTTTAGGGGGAGTGCTTCTAACTTCTGCCCATCCAGTATAATGTTGGCTGTGGGTTTGTCATAGATGACTCTTATTATTTTGAAGTATGTTCCTTTGGAGCTATGAAGGGATGTTGGATTTTATCAAATACTTTTTTCTGCATCTGTTGAGACTATCATGTAGTTCTTATTTTTAGTTCTACTTTATGTTATGTATTACATTTATTGATTTGTGTATGTTGAACCAACCTTGCATCCCAGGAATAAAGCCCATCTGATCATGGCAAATGATATTTTTATGTGCTGCTGGATGTGGTTTGCTAGTATTTTTTCAAGAATTTTTGCATCTATGTTCACCAGATGTGTCAGCCTGTAGTTTTCTTTCTTTGTTGTGTTTTTGCCAGATTTTGGTATCAGGATAATACTGACTTCATACAATGAGTAAAAGAGGAATTCTTTCTCCTCAATTGTTTGGAATAGTAGGATTGACACAAGCTCTTCCTTGTATCTGGTAGAATTCAGCTATGAATCTGTCTGGTTCAGGATTTTTTTTTAGGGTGGGTAGGTTTTCTTTATTACTGAGTCAATTTTGTGGCTCATCATTGGTCTGTTCAAGGTTTAAAGCCCCATTAAATACACATGTCCATTCATCTACGATGTCTACTCAATAAATATAAGATTCTGATCTCTAGCCTGATTTTAAGGCCTTTGTCCAGGCAATGAAAAAATCAACAAATGACTCAATAATATAATTCCTAGAAATGTGGGCTGCATATTTTTTTCCCTTTAGTTGCTAATGGCCTTTGGCCCTAGATTACTTTTCCTTTAGTCACTTTTGATAAGAGTAAAGTTTCCGTCATAGGAGTCTGATTTATACAATTATTCTTTGCCCATTGTGGCATAGTCACTAGATGGTGATCTTTTCCTCCACACTTCGCTGACATTAAGAATAAAAAATTCTGGAGAGCAGAAATCATCTTTGATCACATTCCATCTCTTTTAACTACTCATCTTCTGATATGGTTAGAACCGACAAGCTGTACCTAGGTAATATTTAAGTCAGAATAGGCCTAAAGAAAGTGTCACTAGTGTGCCTGTCTCCCTTGTCCCTGGCACCTAGATCACATGACTTCATTTGTCTAACTGGAACATTATCACCAGTCTGTATTCATATCATGGTCTGTTACTGCTCTACCTCGTTCCCATATTCACCTGTTTGCCTGGTCATTCCACACTAACTGTACTTTTCACAGCACAAAGGGAAATGAAGCATAGGAACCACATTCCTCTTTGATGACTAGATGTTTATTAAGATAATTTAATCAATTGACAGCCTTTTAGCTACAGAAGTACAGGAAAGAGAGCAAATTTATCTATATTTCACTCTAATAACTACATTTATTTCAATAGCTGTTTTGCCTTCTGAAAGCAGTCTCTAGCGTATCCAGGTTGGTATAATTTTACTTTCAGAAAATTCTCAATTAACTGCCAAAGTGCTGGCACACCTCTGTCATCATTCTAAAAAGACACCTGGCTATGTTTTGGAAAGGTCATGAGATTAAAAACTAGACATAACTTATGTTCAAATTCCAATTCTGACTCTTCTGGTTCTTTTGACTCTTGGTTTTTTGTTAGCATCTTGAAATTAAATCATCTCATCTGTATAATGAGAATTAAAATGTCCTCTTTATAGAAGTACTTTTAGGAATAAGTGCAATAATAGAAGCAAAATATCCAACGCAATATCCTTAGCACACAGTAGATACGTTTAGGCATTAAACATGCTGGCATAGTGGTACATGCCTGTAGTCTCATTTGCTCGAGAGGGTAAGGTGGAAGGATTGCTTAAGCCTGAAAGTTCAAGATCAGCTTTGGCAACACAGCAAGATCTCTGTCTCTTTAAAAAAACGTTTTTAATAAAAAATATTAAATATTGACCACTCTGATTATAGCAGTTTAAAGACATTAGATTCTTTGCATATTAAAACACTCAAATATCTAGGAAGCTTTGAAATCATATTATTTGCAGAGTGATCTTAGATAGTATTAAGAGTCTACAATAGCCGGGTACAGTGACTCACACTTGTAATCCCAGCATTTTGGGAGGCAAGAGGATTGCCTCAGTCCATGGGTTCAAGACCAGCCTGGGCAACATGGCGAGACTTCATCTCTACAATAAATCAAAAAATTAGCCAGGCGTGGTGGCACGTTGCCTGTAAATGCAGCTACTTGGAAGGCGGAGGCAGAAGAATTACTTGAGCCCAGCAGGTTGAGGCCATGAGTGTGCCACTGCCCTCCAGCCTGGATGACAGAGTGAGATTCCGATTAAAAAGGAAAAAAAGAGTCTACAATTGTCTAGCAGTTACAATTGTCTAGCAGCTGAGGAAGGAAGGGTTAATAAGCTAATGTCCCATATATTAAGAAGCTTACAGTGTTAGAGAAAATGTTTAGTATTCTTATGTTTTACCATCTGAAAAGTGAGAAAATTCCTTTCTGCCATGTCCTGATATCTCTAAACTGTTAAAAACACTTAAGGAAAATAAAGTTTCCAGGTGTAAGCCAAGACTTGAAAGCAATCATTAACTCATATGTCCAGAGCACACTTTCCCTCAAATAAATATTTGTATTCTAATTTTCCTTTCCATTTAGGTGCATTAGCCACAGCTGCCTAAGTTCTCTTGTTCAATTTGGCAGGCATAAAAGAAAATAATCCTATCCCAGGAAAGTAGAACACTTTGCAGATTACTGAAAAAAATATTTTAAACTATTTTAAATTAGACTGATGCTATAGTTTATGTGAGTTGTAAAAGATGCATCTCTACTTTTTAGAGGAAACTAATTTTCATTTAAGAAAAAACTGGTTTTTTTTTAAATTCTAGTAACAGCTACTTTGAGAACAATGTCACAGCCCCTGACCATATGAAAAACGTTCTTGTTTTAACACTGCCTCCTGAAAATCCCATCCTAAATGCCTCTCTCTCCAAGGATTTATCACCGGTAAGTATCATTTCATATTATAGTATAAGTAATATACTATTACTTTCTTTGTCTGGAATGAGATAATTATCCTCCTATTCAGGACTCAAATTCTAAGATAAGTAATTATTTTTAATCATGCCAATCCACTCAACAAATGCTAACTAAAACCAACTACATGTACAACATTTTGCAACAGCAGGATCCTTATCAAAACTCTTAATTTATTTCACTTTGTTGGCAATAACAATGGACACTTATGCAACATCAGAATGAAGGTGACAATATCAAAAGATAAAAAGAAGCCCTGTTATTGAGGGTCACTTAGGGTAAGTAGAAACTACATAATGTAAAATAAACGAAGGGTTACTATAAGTTCTCTACAACCTAAAGAAACGTTTCCCTGTCACTGACACCAAAATTCTACCTTTAAAGATATGTATTCTAGGTTTAAGACATTGTCTTCCACTATAATTTAGCAGACCATTGTCCAAATTCACCGCAGAGTCCTGGTTTATTCCTATTATACCAGTATGCCATCTGGTTTAGCATTTGTCCCAGAAAAGAGACCTCCATTTGGACATTAAATCATGGTCACCTTATTATAATATAGTGTTCTTAACTCTAATAGTATTTATGCTAACTTAATAAACTTAAACTTCAGATGGTGAAACATAAGCATAAAATACTAAACATTTTCTCTAACACTGCAAGCTTCTTGAGTTTTGTAAGTCACTATACTTTCATGTGATTAAATTTATTGAACGTATTCTTCCCTTAGAGACAATCAGTTGAGAACAGGTTTAAAGCAGCAGGAGAAGAAAGTGGCAGTCCTAAGGACCCCAAATAACTATGGCCCAAAGCTATAAGGAAAGTTGGATACCTCTGGGAATATTGCACATTTCCTAGACTAGTAGGTCTAAGCCCTCCAATTTATGATCATGCCAAAATTAGGGGCTGCAACCTCTTTTAGGGCTGGGTCTTATTGGATTATTAACATAATGACATGAAAAATGACAATTTCAGCAAAAGAAACTGAAGCTAATGAAAGGGTTTTATTTTTTCTTTTTATATTTTCCAGCAAATATAATTCTGTGTGTAGTATTCAGATATCACCTGGCAAAAGTACTATTCTTCACAAGTGGGCAGTCCAAAATGCCCAAATAAATAGAACTCACTTGGTCTTGGTGGGGCAAGAGCTTTTAATTCATAGCTCAGCTCTGCGAAGACCACCATGCACCAGCTGCAGAAGCAGAGGCATTCTGACTGTCTATATTAATATTTTTCCCAGGGCAAATATTTGGGACCTGACGTAATGCACTGTCAGAACTGTTTTCAAAGCAAGTTTAATGGTATTATCTAATCAAAACTGCTCACGTCTCATTCAGGATACTAAAAAGCAGGGGTTGTTTTGGTGGGTTAATTTTGTTGGTTTTCTCTTTTGCACTTACATAAGTGCATTAAAAACACCACTGGCCAGGCGTGGTGTCTCACGCCAATACTCCCAGAACTTTGGGAGGCTGGGGCGGGAAGATTGCTTGGGCTTAGGAGTTCCAGATAAGCCTGGGCAACATAGTGAGACCTGTCTTTACAAAAAAAATTAGCCGGGATGGTGGTGCACACCTGTAGTTCCAGCTGTTCAGGAAGCATCATTTGAGTCCAGGGGTGAAGCCTGTGGTGACCCATGATTGTGTTACTGCACTCCAACCTGGGCAACAGATTGAGACACCAACTCAAAAAAATATATATATATTCAATAACAAGCATTTATTATTTCTACATAAGGTCTCATTAAAATTATGAAAAGTCTTCACGTTGTTTTTCCTGCAACTGTATATTTTATCATCCTAGGAAGAATGTATAACTGCTTGTACTTGCTTCCCTAAAGGCAACATTCCTATTTTATTGATTCCAAGAGAAGGCAAAGTTTTGACATGGGATAATAAAGAACACTGATCCAAGGAAGGATTTTCCAAAAGTCTCCTTTAATAACGTTCCTTCAATTTCCCTAATATCCTTTTAACTTTGCAGTTACTTGCAGATCCCAAGAATCTTTTTCTCCAGGTTCAAGACCAAAATCTCTTTTTGGGGATCCATTTTAAGATTTTCCTTTCTCATTCAGGCAAGAAAAGATTTTGCTTTTGCCTACTTGAATGGAGTCTTGCTCTTTGGACACATGCTGAAGACATTTCTGGAAAACAAAGAGGCTGTTAACACCTCCAAATTTGCTCATGCTTTCAGGAACATCACTTTTGAAGGTACTGGTCTCCCAGAAAACAACTAAGCTAAAGAAATATGGGCTTTGTGATTGGACTTTGGGAAATAAAGAGGAGTTTGCCAATAGATAATTCAATAGCTTACTATCTTTGAACCCAATTGGAAGCAAACATCATTACATAAACTTTGGGAATGCTATTATTGATAACTAGATCCTAATTCATGCTGCAGACTTTCAGAATGTTTGGATAACTTAGAAAGAGTATGCAGCTCAGGTTCTGTGTTTAAGAATAAGCTCATTGGAGGGCATTAGCAGTGATGTCCCGACTGTGCTTGGAGACCAGCAAAACAGAAATATTTACAGGTTGATTTAGCCTCTTCCGTATCTCCCTTTCTCTCCTATAAGAATCTGACGCCCTGTGTTAAAACTCTATCAAAACCCCTCATAACAATACCCTCTAAAATAACACATGCCTCTTTGAGCTGCATGAGTCCACCTCCCACTTTCCTACAAGCTCCCACTGAAACTCCTATCTTTCGCTTGCAGGATCTCATCCAGAGATTATAAAGAGATTTTCTTTTACATGTAATGCACACTAAGTGAAAGGCTTCCCTAGCTTGTCTTAAAGTCTTACTCTGGGAAACCTGTCTTACTACAGAGTGAGTCTTTCTGTGTTGGCTTCAGAGGGCAGCAGACATTCAGCATAAGGCCTCAGGGCAGCACCAATGGCTGTGGTGAGTGACAAGGACAGGAAGGGATCACTTCGGTTTCACCGAAGAAGCAGCGAGGGAGACACACTCATTTATTGTTCATCTCGTGTCTCAAGTTCTGCCAGACACTTTATGTGCATCCTAAATTTCTTCACATTCATGATCACGGTCAAGCATCCTAAGGCCACTAGCACAGGAGACATTCATCTTTGACCTAGTTTAGCACCTATCAGCTGTATGATCCCGAGTAATATCTCTGACTTTACTAAATAAATTCTTTCTCATCAATAAAATGGAGACAACAGTAGTAGATATAGATATCATGGTATTCCAGGAAGAATAATATGATAAATGTATATGAAGCACTTAGCACAGAATCTGATACATAGTAAACATGAAACAAATGTTGCTATTATTTTGAACCATTGTGAATTTGCTGATTTAATCATTTTTACCTGAATAGCCATTTCATAGGTTTACCCTATACCGCTCTTTCATAGATGAGAAATCTGAAACTCAGAGAACTTAAATATTATTTTTTCAGTCTTCAGACAATAAATGACAGTGAAAAAAATGAATCATTTTATGCCCTCTGTCAGGATCCAACTGGTACATAAAGCAAGAAGTCAGCAATGATTTCTAATGCCTGTTGATTTTGCCCTAGGGTATGCGGGACCGGTGACCCTGGATGACTGTGGGGATGTTGACAGTACCATGGTGCTTCTGTATACCTCTGTGGAAACCAACCAAGTACGTCTCACTACTTATCAGAAAATGTGGAGTAATACAATTGGGTGGGGAGGGATAAATTGGAAGAGAATAGTGAAGGAATTAGAGAATGTTTTGTGTTTAAGACCTGAAAAATGTTTATTTCAGCTTTACAATTATGCCCTACTTGAAACAGTATTCCTTAACCATTTTGACCCATAAAAAGTCTTACTGAGAATAGTCACTCTATTTAATAAAGAAGGTGCAAAAAATGTGTACATATTTTAAGAGACAGTTGATATTAAGAGATGTTCGCTGTAATAGAAGTGTCTGGGTGCTGATGGTAACCATTTTGAGTATCTCTTGTAATTGCAGAACTCATATGACTTGCATTCATCTTATTGAGTATTAATATAGCTTTTTCCTTTCTTAAAATGTGTATACATTTTTCTTTATTCCAACCAGAATTACATAACATAACAACCAGACAGTTGATGGGAAGCCAATAAGGGCATAGCAAGACTTTCCTAAGAAAGTTTTGTTTTTTCATTTTCACGACTAAAGATTTCAATAAAATATTCCCTGTTCTCTCTCCATCTAAACTCTCATTAAAGTCATTAACTGTGTAATCCCTCAGGCCCACATAAGCAGTCCTATAATATAATGCTTTTGTTCACATTATGTGTCTTTTTTCCTCACCTACATAGTAGGTTCTTTAAAGAAAGGGAGTGGGTCTTACTGACTTCATCTCTCCAGTGCTTAGTGTCTTATCTGGCACACCATTAATGCCTGATAGGTATTTAATTTAAAAAGCAAAACACCTGGCTTCATGTCATCCAAAGTTGAGTCCATTCAAATTATGAAAGCCACTGTTTCAGTCAACCAAGTGGTCAAACAAGAAATTTTCTTTTAAGGGGTCAGGTCTTAACTAAGAATCTAAGAGAACAAGTTATTCATTATTTTATTTTCTAGTGGGAATATTATTACACACCCTGAAGTCATATATTGAGTGTATATATTTACCCAGCTTTGTAAAAGATATCTGCAATGGCAAATGTGAAAAGATGTTTAGACTGAGAAATCTAAACCAGAAATCTAGGAGCAACATTTCAGAAAAGTAATTCATAGTTTTCAGTTACTGTATCAAACCTTTAATATAATGTTGTATTTGACATATATTCTATAAGAATGCCTCAAAATAGATCCCTTCAATGCTTCAGTTACTAATAGTAACTTCAAAGATGCCTACATTCCCCTCTGAATTATTTGTATCTGGGATGATGACTCTGCCTCCCTTGGAGAGAGATAGATACATGTGGTGAGATCATATGTTAGCCTAAAGACTAATCTTCAGAAGGAAAAAAATGTTGTCTTGTGTAGCTACTTCTTTCTAAAAGCACATTTTTCAATAATGTAGTTTCATATTGTGTTCTATATTATATGTCTCTTTACTGAAATTAGGAATTTCTTGAAACATAAAGCTAAAGAGGTGATAATCTATATCTAGGGTAGGTCTCAATAGAGATTCAGTATGCCATGCCCTAATATACAGGGTAGTTCTTATCCTCAATAAATGCAGTTACCAATTTTTCTATAAATTTAAGAGTTAAGTTTTAAGGTTGAGCAAGGCCCTCTTTCCTCTGAATCCCAGCCCAGTGCTCACAAAGGGACTTTGTTTCTGGAAAGGAAAAGATTTTTTAAAAGAGAGAAAGTGGCCAGACTCAGTGGCTCAGCCTAATCCCCAGCATTTTGGGAGGCCGAGGCGAGTGGGTTGCTTAAGCCCCAGTGTTCGAGACCAGCCTAGGCAACGTGGCGAGACCTCACCTCTACAATAAATCAAAAATTGGCTGGGAGTGGTAGTTTGTGCCTGCAATTCCTGCTACTTAGAAGGCTGAGGCGGAAGGATTGACGGAGCCCAGCATGTCATGTTGGGGTGGCCATGAGTGTGCTGCACTCCAGCCTGGGTGATGGAGTGAGACTCCAACTCAAAAAAAATTTTTTTTAAAAGAAAGTAAAGTTTTTAAAATATAAAAATTTTGTCCATAATATTTTAAGGAAATGGTGGTGGGTTCAGATGTCACTTACAAAATTGACTAAATATATGCAGCAGTAATTTAAGGATATCTTAATATTTCCATTTGCAAATTACTTGAAAACTTTTTATCTTAGAGGCCTAATTAGTGTCATGTACAAGAAAGCACATTAGAGCAAAGGGATAGAAGAGATTAGAAAAGTATGTCATTGATAGAAGTTAAAAAATGTAGAATTATTTCAGGATCCCAAGACATGTATCAGAGTGATATGAATTTTAGCTGTAGTGCATTTTCTTGAGAAATTATTTTTAAATTTAATATTGTGGAAAATACTGGTGCTTTACTTGTCATGTGACTCAGAGCTAGCCATTTATTATTTCTTGGCCTTTATTTTAACATTTGTGAAATGAAAGACTTAAACTAGCTTGCTAAAGACCCAAATAATAGGTGCTGGACAGGCAAGGGTTAATGGTGTAGCGTGTGGTCATAAAGAAACAGAAAACTAATTTGTCCACCTGGAACTTAAATATGTATTCATGCTGTGAACCAATAAATGATTCTAACTAGCTGGTTAACAATTATATTTTTTAACTGAGAAGTGTTACGGAATTTAAGTGTCATTGGGCAGAATCATCATTCTTATCAGAGGTTGCGCTAAAATGTCTTTTTCTGTTCATCCTTTTTCTTTCTTGTTCCCTGTCATAGTACAAGGTTCTTTTGACCTATGATACCCACAACAATAAGACTCACCCTGTGGCTACGACTCCCACATTCATCTGGAAGAACCATAAACTTCCTAATGATATTCCAGGCCGGGGTAAGAAATTCTACACTAATTTTCTTTCTGTAAAATTGTTTTTCTAGTAAGAAAAGTATACCCTATGACTTATGCAATTAGCCTGTGATTTTTATTTTGCTTTGGTTATTGTTGTTGTCCCAATTAGATTTGCTAGGTTTGTAAATGTGGTCTTTACTTTCCTGCACAATCAATAAGATAATAGTTCTGATTAAGTACTAAAAATATTCCTTCCTAATTTAGCTATACCTGTCTTTTAAAATGTTTTCTGCACTTTGACATAAATTATTTCATTAAAAAACTAGGTTTGACAATTGGTAAAAATAAGCACAGACACATATATTCTTACTTCATTTACATTTTACTACAATATGCTTAAAGGAGATATATTTCAACAAGAAATACTTGATGTATCAGGCTGAGGGTGGTCAGTGATCATGGCTTTTAAAGTCTCCCTTATTCCTTCATAGGACATATAATTGATTGCACTGATGGCTATCCACCTACTTTAGATAACGTCCTATCGTCATGAAAAGCCCTAACATGGCCAGTCCTTCACCTGTGCAAGTTGCAGGGCAACTATATAACATTGACCACCAGCAGGCAGGACCAGTCATGTGTGTCCTGGGCATCAAAATCTTAAAACAGCTTTTCCATGGCTGGCTTGGCCAGGGCATGACATAATAACCAATAATTGCATGCTAATAATCTATCTTTAGAAAAAAAAAAAAATCTTAAATTTTAACAGACACTTATGCCCAGAGATGCAAAAAAAAATGGAAACACCATTAACAAAATTATTTAGAAAAACATGACATATTCATAATCGGAACATCATACAACAAATTAAAAATAATTATTTACAAATAATTTTAAATAACATGGGAAAAAATGATATAAAGTCATAGAAAAATACAGCTTTTTATTTAACACAATTCTAGCTTTGTAAAACAATGTATAGAAATGAGACTGAAAAGAAATATATATCAAAATGTTAAAAGTAGTGGCCTCTGAGTAATAGGACCCCAGGAATGTGTTTGTTTGTTTTGTGTTGTTTTATATTTTCTGAATTTTCCAGATTTTAGACAATGACTTTGTATTAGTTTGTCATTTAAAAGTATTAAAAATTATAAACTAGGAATATTTTTATTCTAGCACTGCCCTACAGCCAGAATCACTCAAAGTTTGATCTGACTCAAAGGGAGCATTTCTGATGGATGGGCTTGTGTGTGTGTCAAAGCTCTACTTCTGTTATTCTTCTTTCACTTCATGAGTCAAATGTAGTCCAAAATGATTTCTATATTGACAATAGGTATCAGCAGTTGAATAAAACAAAGGGGACGATAAGGATCACTTTCTTCTAGGCAATAAGTAACTGAGCTGACCAGATTTAATGCTATTGTTGCTTTTTAAAGCTGATTTTTATTTAACAAGCTTTTAAAACTATTTTTGGAACTGTCATTAAGTTTTTGAGTCTTAATCTAAACTTGAAATACTTCTCTTTTCTCACTGGCTTCTGTAACTCTCAGCTTCTTCATTTGAACATTTTTAGTTCAAATTATTTTTTCTTTCTCTTCAGTGACAAAGTTAGATTTGCATTTTTAAGATATTTCTTTAAGGTTTTTAGATATTTTACTTATCAAATAGTCTGCGATTTGTAAAGTGCTGAATTTCTCAAAGAATAATTTTTGAGAGAGCCCTCATTACCTCCTTAAAGAGCACATGAAGTATTCATATTATATACTACAGGGACATTGTATGATCCTGGGCAACTTCACTTCATTTTCAGTTCACTAAAAAACTCAATCAGTCCGATCATTTTATGATGTAACTGTTACTGCATTTAGCTCTAAACTTTACAAATGAAGCAACTCAATCTTTAAAATAAATTATACATCACAGGTCTTTTATCTGTGTACATTGCTGTCAACTAGCAGAACATTTCACCTGTCAATTACACTATCACTGTCCTTTCATTCATTTAACAAAGACTTACTTAACGTTAGACCATGTTCTAAGCACCTGAGAAACAGCAATGTGTGATGTAGCTTTAGTTCCTGGCCTTATCCAAGCCCTCATCACCTCCTTCCTGTATTACAACCATGATGCCCAACTGACTTCCTGCATTAGTCCAGCCACCTCCATCCCAACTTACACTGCTACTAGAATGAAAGCACCAATTCATTCATGTCACTGCAGGCATGAACTAACACTTCGATTGGCAACTCGACTTCACCTACAGAAAAAAGTCCAAGTGACTTAATACAGTACAAAATGTCCATCATCTCCCTACTTCTGCTGCCTCGTCTTTAACTTACTTGAAATCCTTTCTTCTCTCTCTCTCAACTTCCTCCCACTTCCTTAGAGTCACGCAACTTTAAGCCACTGTGTCATTTATGCTATTCCCTCTGACTAGAATTTATCACTCTTTAAACATCTAATTGTTAAACATCCGCTCATCTTCAAGATTGAACTTGAATCTCACCTTTTCTAAGCTTTTTCTTAGCATCCCAAGACAAGCTCTTACTCTATCCAATTTCTAGTATAGTACTTACATCATACATTTGTTTACACATCTTTTTATGCTGTACATTTTATAAGTTTAAGGTCCATAGTTTATTCATATTTCTTTGCTCCTGCACAGTGCTTTGGAATGAATGAATGAATGACAACAGAACTGAATATATTTCTGCTCTGGACTTCAGCCCTAATCCATACTATGTTAATATCAGTCCATCTATTTTTCTTCTATAAGTGTGAGTTTCTTCCCCTGTTAGATCAGGAAGTTTAACAGGTTCCTTCCAGTATAATATCATATGATCTTGGGGTTATAAACTCATTCTTATTCACTGGATGAGTTAAAATAGAATGTTATAACTATAGTAGCCACCAGAAGGCAGCAGAAGCTTAACCTTAGAACTTAGAATGTGATCCTGCAATTTTTCTAATAAGCAGAACTGAAAAGTATGTCGAATTAAAAGCTACTGTATTTAAATAGCATATAGTCTATTTAGATGCCATATGCTAATATCATAATTATATCTAGTGCAGTGAGATGTTCATACTGTGGGAGGTATATAAGAATTGAGATGGGCTGAGGGATGCATTATATTCCCTCCAATTCATGCTCTGGTCAAGGGGATGTGTGTCAATGTTAGTAGATTGGTGAGTAGAAGCATCTACACTGTTGAGACTGTATTTTTTTTTTTTAATTTTGGTCTGGGGTTGGGGATGTGATTGTAGTAGCAATGGTGATGGTAGTGATGGAAGTCGTGATTGTAGTAACCAACAGACTTCATCAAAGTCAAATGTGCCCCTAATACAAGTTCAACTCCAAGATTTAAATTTATTTCTGCCCAGATGAAAGTAGAAATCCAAAGCTCACATTTTCACTATTGGTAGATTCCCCTGAGCGACAAAACAAGATAGTAACTAGACAGAGACAAAGTCACATGTTAGAAGAGCATAAATCCTTCAAATTCAGCCTGTATAGAAAAGTGTTGCAGTAGTTATTCCAAGTTAGACCCTCTACCTCAGGGGGAAAAAATGGTTAGATCGTAAAAAAAAAAAGTGTGATGAGACAACATGGTTTAAAAATATATGTGACATGAGATAAATTTAATGGCACAGGGGTCTTTCTATATATGTTTATTTATGTAGTTTGATGTTTGGCCACTTTTTCTTGCCTCTTCTCTGACAGCAAGATGAGCAGGGTCAAGTTTTTATCCCACTATTTTTTATTCAGCCATTTTTAAAATTGATATCTTACCTTATACCAGGTCTTGTGCTGGATGTTAAAGGTATAAGGATGAACAAGAGTGAAAAAGTAGGACAGGACCATGCCCCCAGGAGCTTATATTATGGCACTATGATATAGAACACAGCATGAAGCTTTGGGGTGCTGCTTTTATAAAGAGGTCTTAGTATCTCCTTTTCAGGGATACCTGCATTAGTTACATTTCAGCAAAGAAAAATTCACACATGATTTTAAAACCCAGTAGTAGATATGTTCATAATGGAAGGTGAGTGTGCCTGGTCCCACTTCTGCACACTCCTGGTTCTCTCAGTCAATTTCTGCTTTTAGTTTTTTGCATACCTCTGAAGAATATGCTTCTATTTCTTGATTTATAAGCTTCAGATGTTATCTATTTTTTTACTGACAAGTGAAGATTTTGTTCATCTTCACTAGCCTTTTTCTTGCTCACTTCTTCCCAATCTAGTTGTCTTTTTTGTAGTATATTTATTGGATGTCTTGTTCATTTTAATTAATATGCATGAGCTTCTACTGTTGCTCCATCAACTGTATATAAGATGTCTTGTTCCCCCACTTTGTAGGGTGAAGATGTTAGTACCCCAATTCTTTCTTCTACCTCCTTTCCAGCTCCTAAATTCTCCTGCATTCTTCTTCTTTTTTTCTGTATTTTTCTTTAATGTGTCAAGGTTGATAGTATTTATCTGGTAACCATAATAAAGACCTTTGTCTCTTACCTGTAAGTTGATTCTATAAACTGAAAACCAGTAAACACTTGCATTATCATTATGTGCATATTATTTATAAAAGATAAATAATATACTGTGAGAACATTTCTTTTTAAACAGCTCCAATGTCACCCTTTTTTTTGCACTACACAAAATAAAATGGAGTCTTGTTCCTTTTCTTTAGCACCCAATTCTCAAAATTCGGCCATGTTTTACTTTGCTTTATTTTTGAACTATGCCTTCCTTGAACATTTTCCCCTAGAGTTTCTTACTGGGTCTCTTGTTTTTTTCTTTTTGCTGTTGCAAGTAAAGGAAACATACTTTCTTCACGCTATTCCTACCAGGTCCCAACTTCTTACACATTCTGTCTATTGCTTGAAACCATTTCGTATTTTCTTCTTGAACCTACATTAGTCCTGTTCTAATAGGGATTCATTGTGGCACATATGAACCATGACTTTCTTGTACAGTTTGATTACTGTTGTTGTCCTTCTCAATCTAGGTGTCTTCCCTTACATACTCAGATTCTGCTTCCGTGCTTGCTTGGGTTGGGTCCACATTTTGGATTCCATTTACTCTGTTGAAAGTCTCTCAACTTACTTCATATCTACACATTTCCACTAGTGTTCACACACTAGTGCTTTAATTAGCAAAATCACATTCTTCATTGGCTTTCCTCCATAACTTAGGAGAACTTAGAAAGAACCAGCATGCAAAACGGTCATTTAATATTCTACACTGACTCACTTTTCTTCCAATGAGTGCTCTGCCTTCAAAAATAGCTGTCTCTTCCTCTATGAATCCTTCTTAGGCATATTGGTTTCAAGGACTCCAGGTAGACTTCTACTACCAAAATGTTCCATGTTAAAAGCTATTTCAGCTGGACTCAGTGGCTCAGCCAGTAATCCCGTGCCTTGGGAGGCTGAGGTGAGTGGATTGCCTGAGCCCGTGGGTTCAAGACCCGCCCAGGCAACTTGGCGAGACCTCATCTCTACAATAAATAAAAAAACTAGCCAGGCGTGGTAGCACGTGCCTGTAGTTCCAGCTACTCGGAAAGCTGAGGCGGAAGGCCTGCCGGAGCCCAGCAGATCGAGGCTGCGGTGGCCGGGAGCGGCCACTGCCCTCCAGTCTGGGTGACAGAGTGAGACTCCAATTCAAAAAAAACGCAACTTCATGTTCTTGTAAGAATTTGGTGATTCATAGTAAACAGAAAAAATACAAAGACAGCTGAAATTAAACCACTGTCCCTGGGCACATGCCAGACAATTTTCAAAGACTGGGGACACGGGACATGTATTGCAAATTAAGAGAAAACAAACATTTTTTAAAAGGAGTCTCCCTTTTTCCTTCTTCAAATTACACTGTACTCCAGAATGATGGAAATACTTTCGTTCTCTCACCCAAGTTTCTCACTGGCACATCATTCACTGTCTTGCCTTCCGCAGGCCCTCAGATCCTGATGATTGCAGTCTTCACCCTCACTGGAACTGTGGTGTTGCTCCTGCTCATCGCTCTCCTAGTGCTCAGGTACCACCCACCTCTCTGCCTGTGCTCATTATCCAGAAAGACAAGGAGAGAAAGGGGGAAAGGTCTGCTCTCCATTGATCATAATATTTATTCGCAAAGAGGTCTCTAGGCTGATCTAATATAAAGAAGACATTCTGCATTAAAGACCATATCAAGGGCATATCAAAGACATTCTGCATCAAAAACCAAACTAAGTCCAAATGGGAATCATCTTAATCATACTGAGGGGATAGATTCAGGCTTTGGAGTAAGAGATTCCAAACACAAATCCCAGTTCCATGACTGATTAGTTGTGTAGTCTTAAGCATGTCACTTAGCAACTTCAACAGGTTACTTGCCTTCAATGCCATCATTTGAGCTGTCATGAGGCTTGGAAATGGATTGTGTATAGAAGCTACCATATACTGATCATTACACATAAATGAAAATAGTTATTTTTGCTGTTTTATTGGTAAGGAGTAAATTTCAAAATTATTATATTGCATGATATTTATAAAGGCTGGAAGAGGTTTTAGAAATAATCTATTCCAAATCTTCTATTTTAACATGGGTAAAGAAAATTCAGAATGCCAAATAGCTTCTCTAAAGTCTTATCACCAGGTAGTGGGTTGGGCTAGAACTAGAACGCAGGCTCTACCATCAGTTCTCTGATTTTTCTACTCAACTTGGGTATGCCAAGTGCCTAGCCAGAGATACAGTATGTACTAAGAAATATTTGTTGAGTATATAAACAAGTGTGAGTAAATACCCCACTACCTCTTGTGTATGTTAAACACAAAACTTTCTATTCTTATTATATTACCAGGTTCACCTGCATTTCCTAATTAAACCAGGCAATAATTTTCTCTGTGTATCACTATACTTTCTCAGTGCCCAGCCTGCCACAGGCTGGTTGACGTTTTCTCAGGAAAGGAAGTAGGCTGTTTTCTTCAGTCTGATAGCAATGCTTGGCTCCTGTAACTATAGTGCTCAGAAATGTAGGAGGTGTTCTACAGTATGTGGTAACCATTTAGCCAAGAGTAAGCAGAAACCAAAATCTCCTTCAGAAACCAAGTCCAAATGGGAATAACCTTAAGATGGGGTAAATCACAAGTAAAAAGACAGTAACAGGTTTATTTCCATTGCCTCTAAGAATAGAGGGCAGAGATAGGACATCCTAATGGGCAGAGCAATGATGTGTCCATGAGACAACCTGGCAGACAAGTGTAGTTTTCCATTAGAACAGACTAGGCAAGCAAAGTAAAAAACAATTTATGGGATGCCCTAATTCAATATGAAAGACATTTGGCTCTGTTGAGTCCCAAGAGTCTCCTGAGTACAGAGCAGAGCACCTGGGAACCTTCAAGATCCTGATATTCATTCTACTTGCCTCCAGGCCTAAGGGTCCTATTAATGGGTCAGTAATATGGTATTTTACATGTATTTAATAAAAGAATACTCAGAATTATATGGAAGCCTAGGAAGAGAATGATAATTTCTGTTTAGGGGGCATTGAGAAAGGCATGACCTAGAAGATGAAATATGAGTTTGTAAAATAACTGAAAAGTAAAGGCAAACTCAGGAACAGATAGGTCAATGGAAAAGAATATTAATTCCAGGATCAGACACAAGCAAGTATGGGAACTTGAAATATGACAGAGATGACATTAGTCAGTTAGAAAATGATGTTGGAACAGTAGGCTTTCCATATGCAAAAAAATAAAATTAAAACCTAACTGAAACAATACACAAAGACACAGTCCACTCCATGTGGAGTTTTAAACGTGAAAGACCTACATGTGAAAATCAAACTTCAAAAATTAGAAGAAATTAAGAGAAAAAGACTTTATTATCTGAGGTTAGGAAAGTACTTATTAGTCAAGATACAAACGGAAAAGTCATAGACAAATATATATAAATATGCCAAGAGAAAACCAAAACTTTCCACACAACAAAGTTAAAAGAAGCAATAAACTAGAAGAAGGCATTTGCAAAACAAAAGGACAAAGGACTTATTTTTCAGAATATATAAGGAACTTGTGTAAGTTAATAAGGGTAAGAAAAAGAAAATTATGCAATAGGAAAAATGGGCAAAATTATTCATGGACAATTCTATATAATCTATGATTCCCTGTATTATTTTAAATAGTTAGAAAATATTTTAAAAGATAATCTCTCAAGAAAATGCAAAGTAAGCAACAACGAAACACTATTTCACTTACATCACAAAGGTTAAAAAAAAGAAGTGGCCAGGTGCAGTGGTTCAAGCCTATAATCCCAGCACTTTGGGAGGCCAAGGTGAGAGGACTGTCTGAGCCCACGGGTTCGAGACTAGCTTGGACAACATAGCAAGACCTCATCTCTACAATAGATCAAAAAATTAACTGGGTGTGGTAGCATGTGCCTGTAGTTCTGGCCACATGGAAGGCTGAGACAGAAGGATCGCCTGAGCCCTGCACTCCAACCCAGATGACAGAGTGAGACTCCAACTCACAAAATAAAATAAAATAAAAAGCAAAACTTCTAAAAAAAAATAAAGTTTAGCAATACCAAATGTCAAGAATATAGAAAATGGGAATTCTCAAGATGGGAAGGTAAGTTGATACCACCACTTTGGGAAGCAATTTGCCAATATCTGTAGTGCTGAAAGAATTCTGCTTCACCTATACTACCCAAAGAAAACAATTACAAATTTTAACATTTTGCACATTGGGATACATGTTGTCACGTTTTCTCTGTATTTTTCCATTTTCTTTAAACATATACATAGATATTTAAAAGCTAAATACATAACAGAAATTGGCTTATTAAGGAATCTGGTGTATTCTCCAGTAGTTTAAAAATTAACATTTTGCTTCTCAAGGTCATCAGTTTAAAATTTTTTTCCTCTGTTTTTCTTCATTCTTTCTATGTCATCAGTTCAGATTCCTTATCAGAGTTAAGGATTGCTTTAGTAAAGGACCAGGGAAGTGAAATGAAAAGAAAAAATATAAAAACCCATCAGACATCCTTGCAGGTCCACTGATGGCCAGCATTTGTCAGTTTGGAGCACATGGTGTTCCATAGTTGGGCTACCTTTCCTTGCTACACATCTGTATCTAAGATCACCAGGGTTCTAAATTTCTTCCAGAGTATAGAACCTGAATGGCTTAGGTACTAATACAACCCTATTGACTGGTTCTATTCCTTTCACAGAAAATATAAAAAAGACAATGAACTTCGTCAGAAAAAATGGTCCCACATTCCTCCTGAAAATATCTTTCCTCTGGAGACCAACGAGACCAATCATGTTAGCCTGAAGGTAAAGTTTACCTTATCTGTTGAACAGTTGTGCAATTTGCCAGGTATTTGGTGCATGGTATGAAATGTGCCAAGCAGGCACATTTGCTTGTGCCTGGAATAGTTTGTTCTAGAATGCAGGACTTCCATGTTTTCTAATTTTCAGCTTCCTACCTTTTCCTTGATTCTCCATTGCCCTAAATGTCAGTTAGTTGATCTATTGTACACATCGGCAGAGGCTGATATATGGTATGTTCTCATTCTTTGCATCTGACCCAGAAGAGAAATACACATATTGATAATTTGTCATGTAAAGGATGTAGGAATGTGTAGGGCATTTGAGTTCCCCTAAACCTTGGATACTAACCTTCCCATACTAACAGTCTATGACTTGTCTTGTTCTTTGCTGAATAGATAGGCTTCTGCTGATATTTGCCCATATTCACCCTCAGCCAGGAAATCTCAGCAGCCAATAATAACTAACTCCCATTTGCTGCAGTTAGTGCTGGACCTGTGTTGTCTCGCAAGTTCAGCATTAAGCCTCACAACGAATCCATGAGTTAAGCTTTACAATCACAATTTTACCTATGAGGAAACTGAAGGACAAAGGATTAAGAAACAGTGCAGGGTTTCATACAACTAGTGAGTACTATTACTACGCATAATACTAGCTAAAACTTACTAAGCACTTATTACACCAGACATAAACCCATGTCATGTACCCATGTCCCTGAGCCCTGTGAAGTAATAGGGCTGGAATTCCAGAAGCATAGCTACAGCTGGAGCCCAGACTAATCATAAGGCATAAGATCCTAACACTTGCCATATACCATAGAATTATCAGAATTTTTATACCAAAGCGTATTAAGAGGATATGGAGACCCAGAACCTCCACTGGAAGAGCGGATTCATGGACTTTCTCAGAGTAGGGCGAAGCTGATAGGGTCCAGCACTAACTGCAGCAAATGGGAGTAAGTTATTATTGGCTGCTGAGATTTCCTGGCTGAGGGTGAATATGGGCAAATATCAGCAGAGGCCTCTCTATTCAGCAAAGAGCAAGACAAGTCATAGTGATTTGAGATGCCTTCCTGCCTAAAATCAGTAGGAGTAAGACTGCAGAATGGGTCAGGTTTGTCTTTGGAGCCGCTCTACCGGCTCTTGATACTCCTCCCCAAGTCCTGCATGCTGCCTTCAAATGACTCAGATCCCGTGGCTTTAAATGAACCTTACCTTCAGAAATCCATCATGCCCCAGAGTGACCTTCCTGTTGCACTCTGAACCTCACACTCAAAAATTCTATCCACAAAAACCCATCTATTGCAGGCAGGTATCAGGATGAAATCAATCGTGCAGTAATTCACAGTAAGGTATAAATGGTCATAACACTATTGAATTTCCAAAGAAAGACTTTTTTGACCTAAATGACCAATTGGAAGTAGCTAGTGTTAAAAGAAAAGCTTTAGCAGATTAAACAAAACGTACTTTAGCAAAAATTGAATAGTGTAGCACTCAAAACCAAAAGAGAGTCTGAAAGCTTCACTCCGCAGGATGGGCAATGAGATTTTATAGGTTGTATGGGAAGGTAAAGTACACACATTACTTGATTGGCTACTGCGAGGCATGTGTCTTTATTTAGGCATGATTTGTTCATTTGGCTGCCTGTGATTGGCTGAAACCTGGCTATTAGTTACTTCTCAATTAGATCTTTGTTTGTGTACTAAGTTAGGTTGTGTTTGTTATGTAGGAACTTAAAATACGGAGAAAACCTCAGGCCAATGATCTCCTGCTTATTAAATTTAACACCAGGAAGAGGAGAGGAGACCTTTAGAAGCAGTGTGTGCTCCTCTGTCTCTGTACCACACTCAGATGGGCTCCTACATACTCCACCTTGCTCACGTCCAAGTCAAGCCTTGGTTTCATCCCTCAAACATTTTCCCACTGCCTCCAACACCATATTACATATATGCATATATATATATATTGGGTTAATATATATTTGACTAATACATATATGATTAATATATATATTTGATTAATATATATTTAAGTCTAAAACATTGTGCCTCTGTGTGCTCCTTACAATGCAAATAATCCTAGACGTGTAACCCATGTATCCTTTGTTGGTTTCTTGTACAGAAGTTTTATGAGTACAGAATTTTTCTTAGATAATTCATCAGATTAGCCACTTACCTGGTTAAGGAATAGGTCTACAGGACAGTAAACTCACAGGAGGGAAGCTAGAAATGTCTTGGAGCACAGAGGTATCATTGTTACTCTGAGTTTCAGACAGGATGGAAGCAAGTGGACCAGGAATTGGCTGTACAGAGAGGTCACCAAGTGCTATGCGCCAGGGAGGACATGGAGAAAACCCAAGGTAGCCATTGTCAGCCCGAGAGGAAAATACCACTGAACCAGACAGGCAGTGGCTCAAATTCTGGATATTCACTGAGGCAGAAATAAGAAAGCAAGATTAAGGGACAATATAATAGTCAAACACCCCAGTACCCAAACAGGAAGCGTCAGAAAACCAGACCAAAGAATATTCCAAAGAAGACGCCCAGAATGTCAAAGGGATAGAGTAACAGAGAAAAAGAATGATAAAGATGGAGATGACTCATTTGAGAATAAAAAGAGAAGTCTTTTCACTAGCAAGAAAATTTCACAAACTCTGTCTCATTTGATCCCCAAGTATCCCTATGAGTTACTAGCACAGTAAGGAGCTGATGTTCAACAAGTTTAAGTGGACTCATCAAAGCCTGAAACAGTAGAAAGAATGTTTAACAAGTTCAGGTTCTGCCACTCTTTTCTTATTTGACATTGAATGCCATCTAACGCTTCTATATCTCGTTTGTTAAATGAGCAGAGAAGTGAAGGGAACTGACACTAATCTGCATTGTGTCGTTATTTCACTCACACTTCAAAATGACCTTATAAGATAAAATTTAACAAAGATAGTAATGCATCACAGGTTTTTGTGAGAATCAAATTGAACGATGCAATTGTTCCCAACCTTTTCTCTGTCTTCAGACCAGAACTACCAGGCCAAAAGCTATATCTAGCCTGCAGGGGTGTGAGTGTGTGTGTGTGTGTGTGTGTGTGTGTGTGTGTGTGTGTGTGTTTTGTTCAGTACGTAACATTTTAAAAATTACTTGCTGACATATAGTATCTTGAAATAGCACATAAAATCTTTACTGCCAGCTTATTTTAACAAGCCAGATGATCTGGCAACTCAGAGCTGATGGGACTGCTCCCCTAGGACACCTGGCCTGCTTTCCTCCTTTGCATTCCTACTTGGGCCATTAGGCATGAATTTTCCACTCAAATGCACAGCATCCTTCTCTAAGAGCATCTGTCTGTAGCTACCAGCAACAATTCCCCACTAAAAAGGGAATAGGGGAGAAGGAGAAAAGAAAACCTCTGTTTGAAATAGGGCCACAGGAGCAAGGGAGGAAAGCCAGAATTAAGCATGAGAGTGGTAAATACTTGGAACAAAGATGTTGTTAGAGTGCGCAGGTGAGGAAGGAGAGGGAAAGACAAGTCAATTATAACAGTTTTTCTGGAAGTCTGCCCAGCACGCTGTTGAGCAAACAACAGATACAGCCCACCTGGAAGAGCCTGTCAGCCTGTGACTGGCAGTGGATGGGACAAGATACAGAGCTTCTGGAATAATTTAGACTTTTCTTGTGCCAGATCGATGATGACAAGAGAAGAGATACAATCCAGAGCCTACGACAGTGCAAATACGACAAAAAGGTGACCTCCCTCACTTCTCTGAACTCTTAGTCGGGGTATGTTCTGGGTCTTCTGACCCTTCATTGACCCAGTTCCTGATGTTGGCATTGTGGTAGTGGGGGTGCCCAGGTTGCTCCCAGGGGCTATTCTTGAAACTTCATAGACATGGGCAGGGCTCTGCTTCAAGGCTTACAAAACTCACAATCCTGGGGAAAATGAAATACAAATAGAATTTTGGGGAAGTGTGGAGTTAGGAAGAAAAAGGAAACAGAAAAGATAAAGCAGTCACAGCAACCCTAGTATTATATTTTAGTTCATTGCTGAGAAATCCCATATAAGGGTTTTTCTCCCTTCCCTCCATCTCTCCTTTCTTCCCTCCCTGCTTTCTTCCTTCCTTCCTCCCTTTTTTCCTTCCTTCCTTTCTTCCTTCCTTTCCAATCTTCCTTCCTTTCTTACTTCCCATCTTTCCTTCCATTACATTTAATCATTCTTGAAGAAATATCGAAACCTGAATTTACTATATCCCCTGTTCTAGGCACCAGGGTTATAAATACCAACTAAATATTGTCACTGCTATCAAAAGCTTACAGTCTAGTGAGACATGCAAACAAATTACTATAGTATGTACATAACATTACACTACAACATCTCCTTTATTCAACTGATTCTGCAGCGAGTGATTCTCAAAGATCTCAAGCACAATGATGGTAATCTCACTGAGAAACAGAAGATAGACTTGAACAAGGTATGTGTTCCTGACTTCAAACCCCTGAAAAATAGCTTTACTTAGTTTTTCTAAAACACTAAGGTCCCTGGTGGACTAAAGTGCAGTTGTAGATGCTGACAGAGAAAGCCTCAGGCCAATAAATAAATAACTATGATTTTTATTGAAAATTCTACTATAAGATAATGGAGAGAGGTTTGATGGTGTAAAACATTTTGAAAATCTACTAGTGTTTCACAGAGTATGGCCCTGAGGTTATTTGAAAGTAGTCAAAGTTTATATTCAAGTCTCCTTGATGACAAAGGGAAGACTGCTGAGCAAGATGTAATATATAACAAGAAACGGGTACTGATATTCAATTTATTAAGAGCAATATGTCTTCCCAAATATCTAAAACACACTTTAATGGCATGTTAATTTTTATTCTAATACTCCTTTCTGGCTTACTTGCTTTATAAACAAATATGTTCTTCTAGTTGCTTCAGATTGACTATTACAACTTGACCAAGTTCTACGGCACAGTGAAGCTTGATAGCACGATTTTTGGGGTGATTGAATACTGTGAGAGAGGATCTCTCCGGGTAAGAAATTGTGGTCATTTCCAATTTCCTACATGGTCAAATATATAAAAAGTATTCTGCGAAACTTTTAAAATATCCAACCAGTAAGCATGTGCCACATGCTTTTCAAACTGATTTTATCAATCAGTTCTCTGATATCTCTACAAACAAACCAAAAATTATTCAGAAAAGGATAAGAGACGGGGGGATGGAGAACATAAGTAGAAAAGTGAGTAATCACATCCAAATAACATTTTGTTTTACATGAATTCTTGCTTTTGTGTTAAAAGAAAAATGGATGATCATTATGATAGCACCAAATAAGCATTAGAAGACTTGTTCCTAAATCCTGGTTCTGCTACTGTCTAAATTCCTACCCTACTCTGTCTTGTGAGGGACTGAGAACAGCCCAGGAGCTGCCAGATGAGGGCAAGTATTTTGGCTGAGCAAGTCCAGAGCAGACAGAATTAAGACCGGGCTAAGTCAAGTTCATGAGAAAAACCAAGAGTTAAGACAGGAATATCAAATGATTCCACAGTTCAGAAGGGCAAGTGTAGTTCATAAACAAAACTCAAAATGAGGGGTCAGGCAGAAACAGGACTGGAATGGGGAAAGGGCAAGAACGGGAAAGAGTCCGAGACAATGGTGTAATAGCATTAAAATATGTTCACCTTACCTTGAACATGTACTGAGAGGGCTTTCAGCTTTTCATACACCTTTGGGTACCATGATCCTTTAATTAATCAGAATACCTTGAGAGTGAAGAGTATACTATAATAATTATGTTGGAACAGCAGACATAAACTGCAACTGGCCCAAGCAAACTAGGATGTGTTTCACCCTGATGTTGGACTATATTCAAACTCAGAACCTCTTAATAACCTCATGTCCTTGCCCTTAACAAAGCCAGAATCCTAAGATTGGGGTCAATAGAAGCCCTGACAATTTCAGAGATGTCCAAATATGTATATTCAATACAATTTATAAATAATAATTTGTTTAAAAACTAACTACTTGGATATCTTTAATTTTTCAATAAGCTTCCATTTTTTTAAAAAAAAGCAAGAACACTAGCTTTCAAAATGTATGGTATAAACTCAAATCTCAAAGAAAAAAATCATAACCCTAAGTGTTATCTCTCTTTTTAAAATTGTTTCTTTTATTTAAAGGCATGCTTGTTATGTTATCATCTAAGGGTTATTCCCTGGTTTTAACTCCTGTGAAAATGTAACAGTGGTACAAGGAAAAAGTGACACATTGAACTATCTATCAACTATATTTAACATCTTTGGGAGAGTTCATTTGTTGTACAGAAGAAGGGAAAGCAGGTCCCTGAGGGATTAGGATAACGGAATGTTGTAGTGAGACTTGAACAGGAGGCTTGCCCAAGAGAATTAAGATCAAGGAGGATGATGGAGCCAAAAGGACAGGTAGAAGCTCTTAAAAAATAATAAATAATTCAAGAATTCAATGCAAATTCAGAAGAATAACTATGATATAAGGAAGGAAAACATTTAAATATCTATCATTTTAAAACAAATAAAATAGGATAGAGTTTTAAAATGCACCCATGAGTGTGTTTATATTAAAACACACAATCCTTTCACTTCTAATTATGATTTTTAAAGTAAACATGCGAATTTGAGAATAAAAAAGCAGTGAAAAGATGTTTTCAATCGTGAAAGAATACTTTGACTATTACATTGTAACGTTTAAGAAGGCAAAATTTCCACAGTCAGCATACTCCTAAATGGACAAAAATTGGAACCATTTCCCCTGAAAACTGGAACAAGACAAGGATGCCCACTCTCACCCCTCCTGTTCAATATAGTATTGGAAGTCCTGGCTAGAGCAATCAGAGAAGAGAAGGCAATCAGGGGTATCCAAATAGGAAAAGAGGAAGTCAAGTTATCTCTCTTTGCAGATGACATGATTGTATACCTTGAAAACCCAAGAGAATCTGTCAAAAACCTCCTTACACTGATAAAGGCCTTCGGCAAAGTCTCAGGATATAAAATAAATGTGCAAAAGACAATCGCATTTCTTTACACCAATAATAAACAAACAGAAACCCAAATAAGAAGCACAATTCTATTCAAAATAGCCACACACAAAAATGAAATACCTTGGCATCTTCCTAACCAGAGACGTGAAAGACCTTTACAATGAAAACTACAAAACTCTGCTCAAAGAAATCAAAGATGACACAAACAAGTGGAAAAATATCCCATGCTCATGGATTGGAAGAATCAACATTGTGAAGATGACCATCTTACCTAAGGCAATCTACAGATTCAATGCAATACCTATCAAATGACCAGCAATATTCTTCTCAGACCTAGAAAAAACAACACAGGAATTCATATGGAAACACAAACGACCAAGAATAGCCAGAACAATCCTCAGCAAAAAAACAAAGCAGGTGGGATCACATTACCAGACTTCAAACTTTACTATAAAGCTACAATCATCAAAACAGCTTGGTATTGGTATAGGAACAGTCATATAGACCAATGGAATAGAATTGAGATTCCAGAGGCAAGACCTCAATTTCTCAACCAACTCATCTTCAACAAAGCCTCCACCACCTATCACTGGGGAGAGGAGAACCTATTCAGTTAATGATGCTGGGAAAACTGGCTGACCACATGCAGAAGATTGAAACAGGACCCCTACCTATCCCCATATACAAAAATTAACTCCAAATGGATCAGGGACCTAAATATAAAACCTCAAACCATAAGAACCTTAGAAAATGAAGGACATACCCTCATGGAAATTGGAACTGGCGTCCAATTCCTGAACAAAACTCGAAACCCACAGGCCATAAGGGATAAGATAGACAAGTGAGACCTCATTAAACTGACAAGCTTCTACAAAGCCAAAGAAACCATCAATAGAGCAGGGAGACAGCCTACAGACTGGGAAAAAGTATTTGCCAACTCCAGGTCTGACAAAGGCTTAACATCCTGGATCTACAAGGAACTCAAATGTGCTGAAAAGAAAAAAACAAACAACCCCATTATAAAGTGGGCAAAAGATATGAACAAACACTTCACAAAGGAAGACATCCGAGCAGCCAACAGACACATGAAGAAATGCTCAACCTCACTAATCATCAGGGAGATGCAAATCAAAACCACACTGAGATACCACCTAACTCCAGTAAGAAAGGCAATTATCAATAACTCAGAAAATAATAGTTGTTGGAGAGGATGTGGCAAAAAGGGAACACTTCTACACTGTTGGTGGGAGTGTAAACTAGTGCAACCTCTGTGGAAAGCAGTGTGGCGATTCCTAAAAGCTCGAAACATCAACCTCCCATATGATCCTGCAATCCCCCTACTGGGAATATACCCTGAAGAACTCAAATCATTCTATAAAAAAGATACCTGCACGCGAATGTTTATTGCAGCATTGTTCACAATAGCAAGAACCTGGAACCAACCACACTGTCCATCAAAAGAGGACTGGATTTAAAAAATGTGGTACATATACACGATGGAATACTATGCTGCCGTAAAAAAAAAAAACCCAAAATCATGAATTTTGCAGCAACCTGGATGGAGCTAGAGTCTATAATACTAAGTGACCTCTCACAGAAACAAAGATCTGAGTACCACATATTCTCACTCATATAGTGGACCTTGATCATCCAATGCACTACTATAAGAAAATGACTGATAGTGTTGGGAAACTATGGGGGGTAGATGGGACTAATGGTAGTAAACATCTGGCTGGAGATGGGGAGACACCAATTATCAACAAGAGGGCCTGAATGAAGCATATTTGTATACCTAACCCTTGACTGTATCCCACAATATCAAAATAAAAAATATCGATTATAAAAAAAAAGGAAAAATTTCAGCAACAATATAATCATAAAAATCTGACTCAAAAATTAAAAATTTAAGTAGGCCAATTCTGAACCAGTTTCAATCACACTTTTGACAACAAATATATGATATTTTTCCACATCAACAGTCAATTCTCCAACTCTCTGGACACCAACTGGTTTAATTCAATTCTGACAATAACTACCTAGAGTTAGCATCAGACCACACAGGTTAAGGGCTCAATCTCACAAGACTGCTCTCAACCCATAACTAATTGCAAGTTCCAGGTCTCCCAAATATCTGACCAATCAGCTATAAACCAGGAGTTGCCACAACCTTGTCCTTGGGTTTGACCATTTGTAAGAATGACTCACAGAATTCAGGGAAAACAGTTCACTTACTAATACCTGTGTATCCTAAAATCTATTATAAAGGATACATATGAGCAGTCAGATAAAGAGTTCCAGTCATAGGAGCTTCTGTCCTTGTGGAGGTGGGGTGACCCATCCTCCTGGAACATGGATATGTTCACCAATCTGGAAATTCTCTTAACCATTTTGCTTAGGATGATTTACTGAGACTCTAATATGTAGGTAAGACTGATTAAATCATTGGCCTTTGGTGATAGGCTCAATCTCCAGCCCTTTTTCTCTCCCTGGATGTGGAGGGGGAAAGATGAGACCAAAAGTTCCTCCTCTCTAATCATATGATTTTTTCTTCCTGCAGTTATATAGGGGCCCACCAAGAGTCATCTCATTAGCATAACTCAGATATGTATGAAAGGAGTTTATTGTGAGTAACAAAAAGCTTGTCTCACCCCTCTCACTCAGGAAATTACAAGGCTTTTAGTTTAGGAGCTCTGTACTAGGAACCAGGGATGACGACCAAATAAATGCTTTTCTTATTATATTACAACAACAGAAGAAATTATAATTTTCATACATAGATATCAGATTCAGCTTAATTCTTCTAAACCCCAATGAATATTTTTCATTATCTATGCAAAAACTATTCTAAAGTTAAACAGAAACATGAACATACTCCAAATTAATTTAACATTTAACAAAGTTAGCATGATTTATACTAAAATCTGAGTAAAGGCTAACTATATTGCATCGGTTGTGGTTAATTCTATAAGTGAAAAAAATATTGTCAATCACATATACTTTATATATCTACATTAAAGAAGACTAGAAGGAAATACCACAATGAGAATAGATTAGATGGTGCAACAATGGAGGTTTATTTTTTATATTTTGCAATTTTTTCACATTTTCTGAAATAAATAGGCATCTATCTCACCATCAAACAGAATAATACAGTTTTCACAATTTGGCAGATGAGAACATGGTAGGATGGGTGAATGGTGAACTAAAGGAGGGAAAAGGTAGAAAGGGAGTCTGTCTGCTCTTGACTTGGCCTCGTACCCACAGCCCAGCCTGCCTTGTCTGAAATGAGTAAGGACTTTAGCCCCTTCCTTGGAAATTCTTGGTACACTGCCTGAGTTAAAACTAAAGGTCAAATTGGACTTCTCCCACAAATAAGAAACTATTGTTATCAGTTCAAGTCCTGTTTCAGAGTTTCACTGTGAAGAACAGTTACATATTAGCTTAACTAAAACCCTGTACCTTGATAAAACCATCATCATGTTAAAATAGTGATTTTTAAAATTCCAGGTCATGGGCAACCCCCTGGGGTCCCCTCCCACTGTGGGAGTTTTTCTGTCCTCTCAATAAATCCTGCTTTCTCAAATAAAATAAAATTCCAGGTCATACAGGTCACACAAGATTTCTCTTAGATCTCTTCAAGATCTCTCTTATTGACAGAGAACTCAATAAACGTAAAAAAAAAAATTAGAGCCATTAGGCTAATGACTACGAACTGATAATGTGAGTGGAAACATAAGGAATTTTCTTATCGCAATTCCCTCCTCAAAAATATGAATTCAATTTGGATGAGATAGACCAGCCCACTTTCCAGGCAAAAGCTGCTCACTCCTTTACCCCCGTCTGATGCAATAACTAAATTTGGGGTGCTATGGGTATCTCCTGCTCATCTTGTGGCAAAAGCCACCCAATGCTTCTTATGTGGAAAAGAAAAGAAACTGGTGTTTATGAAAATCAGGACAATGGAGTTCCAGTATGTTCCTGATCTCAAGGTCTGCAGGGGGCCAGCCCCTGCAGAGAGATTTAGGGGGTCCATGGAAGGTGTGGCAGCGCCAGCGATTATTCTGGAGAGATAAAGAGAAAGAAAGAAAAAGGGGGGGAAAAGAAAGAGACTGGACTCTGTCTAGTGCAGAAGCCATTTAATGGGACAAGCCGCAAGTCTTTTATCCCAAATTTTCACAAGTCACATCACAAGATTTTCATGTGAACACAAAGCCAGGTGGATGAGGGGCATCCCCCACCCACCAGGTATTTCCTCAAGCATGAGTAAGGACAATCCCAATATTATTCTTGGCTGTTCCTTATGCTTGGCTAATGTTCCTCAAAAACAATACAACAACTCCAACATCATAATATTCTAATAATCAATAACTTCTAAAGCTTATGCATACACAACACCTAATGACTAACTTAAATCCTAATACCTTTCTATTCTGTGCTAATTTTACCTATACTATAGAAACTGTTAATTATAGCTCAAACCAGTTCCTAAAGAATGTGGCCCAGTCCAAAGATCATGCTGGGCCATTTCCAGGAACAATTGATTATAATCTCTTAACAAAATGGCTATTCTAAAATCCTATGTATCTATCTTAATTTCTATAAAAGTTTCTAATTCCTAATCCTAAGATATAAAACTGATCATCAGCAATAAAGCTTCTAAATAAAACCCAAATACAAACTGTAAATTGTACTAAAGCCAAAACCGCAATTAGTAGAAAATGGGAACAATGAAATTTCTAAAATTAGCTGTATTCCTATTAAACCTCAAAATATCATGTTTGATCATGCTTGAACTAACATAATTTACTGATGTAGCATAACCTAGTCTATGATACTTTCTATGAATAAAATAAATTCAATTTCTATAATAAATAGAAAAAACCTACACTAATTGTAGCTAAAAACCAGTTTAAAAGAATGTAGCCCAGTCCAAGTTACATGCTGGGCCCTTAGGAATGTGGCCCAGTCCAAAGTTTGTGCTGGGCCATTTCTGGTAACTCTAGATAATCATCTATACCATCTAAAGCTGGAAACAGATCTCTAAATGTATATACTAATTCTACAAATATACTTTTAAATCTCATAAAGAGCTTGTATCATATATAAGGCTCCCAAATGTGACCTGAGTTTGAATTATGTTAAGTTTAAAGCCGAAACCACAGTCTGTGAGAAAAGGGAACAATGGATCCCTAGAGTCAGCCATGCCTGTCATACTCTCAGAACTTCATGCTTAGATCATCAAAGTCCCTGCTAGTGGATCATGCCAAACAACAAAGAAGGGAGGAGGGAATGGGCCTTCAGCTCCTGAACTCAACCTGGTGGTCTCAGGGTCCGCAGCCTGCCTGGATCCCTAACACTCAGGAGGGCCTCCACAGCCGGCTTCCAACAAAGGCCTCATGATTTCATTATTTAGCTCATAACAGTCTCTCCACAATATCTTTCCTTGCAACAACTCATCTTTTTTTCCCCCTTCTATTCAGGAAGTCTTAAATGACACAATTTCCTACCCTGATGGTACATTCATGGATTGGGAGTTTAAGATCTCTGTCTTGTATGACATTGCCAAGGTAAAAGACCCACAACACTCAAAAAAAAATTATGAAAATTAAATATGAGAAAATAGTTCTAACAAATTACTCAACCTTTTGTGCACTGGTTCTTTCAACTGTAAAATCATAATAATAACAGTAACTGTGTCATAGGGTTGTTGTGTAGATTTTAGGAAATAATGCATGTGCTTATAGCAAGGCATGGTACAAGTACAAAATTACATTGGTTATTATTTTTATTATTATATTCTTTGTATTATAGATATAGGTCACACATTTTCTTTTTTTTTTTTTTTAATTGGAGTCTCACTCTGTCGCCCAGGCTGGAGTGCAGTGGCACACTCATGGCCACCCCAGCATCAGTCTGCTGGGCTCCCGCAATCCTTCCACCTCAACCTTCCAAGTAGCCAGAACTACAGGTGCACACTACCATGCCCAGCTAATTTTTCAATTTATTGTAGAGATGAGGTCTTGCCAAGTTGCCCAGGCTGTTCTCGAACCCGTGGGCTCAGGCAATCCCTCACCTCGGTTTCCCAAAGTGCTGGTATTACAGGCTTGAATCACCATACCCAGTCAAAGAACTCAGTCTTTTTTTTTTTTTTTTTGAGTCGAAGTCTCACTCTCTTGCCCAGGTTGGAGTGCAGTGGCACACCCATGGCCACCCCAGCGTCCAGCTACTGGGCTCAGGTGATCCTTCCTCCTCAGTCTTCCAAGTAGCTGGGACTACAGGCATGTGCCACCATACCCAGATAATTTTTTTAAATTATGTATTATAGAGCTGAGGTCTGGCCAAGTTACCCAGATTGGTCTTGAACCCATGGCTTTCACCTCGGCCTCCCAAAGTTCTGGGCAGTCGTGAGCCACAGTGCCCGGCCTAGGAGACACTTTTCATAGATTTGCCAGAAATCAAGGAAGACAACTGAATCTTCAACTTTATAAGAGAAAAGATTAAGTACAGGCAACTGTCTTGCACGAAGCATTATTACATTTGGACATGTATATACCAAGCCATGACATAAAAACAAAGTATTACAATAGTAACCAGGGCCTCATTCAAGAATGAATAAAAGTTGGTTCTGAGAGTGAGCTGTTGGATACAGTTGTAAACAACCTGAAAGTCACAGCAGCTCAGAATTAGTTCAAAAAACGTTACAATAATCTATTTGCCACAAACGTTTTACTCTTGTAATCCAGGCTGAAAATCAGTTTCTCTGTGACAACTCTGGCCAGCAGAGGGAAGCACTCTGGCCAAAATGGGCTTCTGCTTTCAAAACAGAGTGAATTAAATATTCTATTTCAAAACAGAATGAAACCAATTTGATTTTAGGAAATAATCTAGCCTAGCCCCTCCCTTCAGAAAGGCAAGACCTTATTATTTGTATTTTCTAAATGAAGTAGCAGAGGACCAAGGACATACTCAGGGTCACAGACCAAATAAGTGGTAAGCAGAAACATTTAAAAATAAAATCAACCCTTTGCCTCACATTACATATATCTACTTAACCAGAGTTTTTAGACAATTCCCTTTTCACTCTGTCATTTAAACAGACCTCAAAACTAGATACAGTGTGTAGGCAAAAATTAGGACTTCAACAATATTTTAAAAGTAAAATTAATGGCACTAAATTTAAAACCTGATAGTCTGACTACCCGCATGCTGAAATGGCTTCAGGATATCACTTCTTTCTTTAAAAGAATCAAGCAGCCCAAGTCTCACATGTCTTTGTCTTTCTGAAAATTTACAGGGGATGTCATATCTGCATTCCAGTAAGACAGAAGTCCATGGTCGTCTGAAATCCACCAACTGTGTTGTGGACAGTAGAATGGTGGTGAAGATCACTGACTTTGGCTGCAATTCCATAATACCTCCAAAAAAAGGTCTGTAATGAATGAAATGTTTACTAGTTTCCCACTTGATTTTTTTCAAGCCCATGTAGAGTGCTCAGGAAATGGTGATACTGATCAGAAGAGAAATACTTAAAGCCACAAGAGGCAACAGCTGGCTCATTCTTCATTACTTCACACTTGTCAATCAAAGAGTGCTTCTTGAATTAAACTAAGACCCTCTATGAATTTCCTTCAGCTGTGTGTCCCTTGACATCACTGAGTAATTGTAAAGAGCTTACTGGTGTGTGGAAGCTCAGCTGGGTCAAAGATATATATCGAGAGAGAGAGCAGAAAGAGACTTTAGAAATCATCTGGTCTGACCTTTTCCTTTATAAAAGATAGAACTGAAATTCAGAGAGGCTAAGATATTTGCCCAGGAGGGTAGAGTACAAAGCAAAAGACCCATTTCCCATTCTAGACATCATTCATTTATCTGTGGTAATAAGAAATAATCCAGAAAAAACTCTTATTTGTAAAATATATTCGTACTTATTGAATTCACGATTGTAGTGGAGGGTCATAAAAAGGTAACATAAGGAAAAAATGCTAAATCTTTACCCTGTTCTTTACTATATAACTCACAGTTAAACAGCCTCAGAAATCTAGCAGTCATGTTGCCTCAAAACACTACCTAAATTTAAAGATTGAATTCGATTTCTATTTTGCAATCCTGTAGTTTTTCTTTAATAAAAGAGAAATCACAGTTCTGCCCCTCCTTCCACCATCACATCAAACATTATATGATATTGGACTCAATCAATAAATTATTGTTGAAGACCTACTGTGTATCAGATTAATTGTAGTTCAAATCCTGTCCTTCTATACATCATTCAGTTATACTTACCTATCTGTGGTGTCAGGTGCCTGAAGTTTTAGCCTAAGTAGATTTACTTACCTTTTGCTATAACCTTTGTATCAATTGTATATGAATCACAAGCCACAAAAATTTACAAGACATAAATTCAAAGAGCCAAAGTACATTTGGATGGAGAACCAAATAAGGAAAACGTGCCTCATCATAAACATACCATTGTATCTATCAACATGACTCTACATTTTTCATTGAAACTGCTGGTGATAGGAGTCTTAAAACATTTACAAGGAGCCAGGTGGTCCCAAAACACTTCCAAAAGAGGTTGAAGGAAAATTAATTGTACGATAAATAAAATATGTGACAGGGTGCCAAACCCAAGCATCCGTAGGAGCTAGACACAGACCACAGGAGCACTGCACTTGTGTGAAGTGGACTAGGTGTAAAGCATTAGAGGGTGGCAGGGATGAAAGTAAAATGTGGGTAAATCATAAGCATTGTTCTTTTGAGAATCCAGTGGGAATCAAAGAAAACACCCCTGCAGGCTGACTTAAAGGCTGCCACTAACTTATGCCTAGAAAAATAAATGGGAGTCTTTTGGTTTTAATGTGCCATCTTTATCTTCTTTTAGTAAATATATAATTTTAAATGTATGCAGTAAATAATAAATTAAATAATTTAAATAAAATGTGATTAAAAATATTTAATCTACATATAATTTATATTTATTTTTTTATAAGGGCTTTCATGGGTTCATTCTCTATGTCCCATAAGCAACTAAATTCCTCAACCTCTTATAGCCAACTACATTCTTCAACATGTATTTACTGAGAGCTTACTACACACCAGACCCCATTCTAGGTGGACCCTGAGGGTTTTCAAGACAATAGTCCTTGCAGTTTTAGACACCATATGGCCATATGATCTGGCACTTCATAGTCAGTCTAAAAGGTGTATGCTCCACCTTCTATCACCAGTATGAACATAAACTCTTCCGACCACTCATATTCAGTGTGGCTGGTGTAAGGACTCAAAGAACAAAAGCAGGTTGAAGACCTGTGATCCACTTACTCCCCTGAACTTTGCAAACTCAATGTCTGAATGTATAGACCTGTGGACGGCTCCAGAGCACCTCCGCCAAGCCAGCATCTCTCAGAAAGGAGATGTGTACAGCTTTGGGATCATCGCCCAGGAGATCATCCTGCGGAGAGAAACCTTCTACACACTGAGCTGCCGGGACCGGAATGGTAAGTCTGAACCCCTTCATCTTCGCCCGCCAGGAACTGGCCAACATGCATTCTAGGCTCCCTGAGACCCTAACCTGTTTGGGACTACATCACAATTCTCTCATCTACAAGAGTAATGACCTCTCATCTGCGTTATATATTATACAGGGGTATTAGAAAGATTAAATGTTAGACTGCTTGGAAAAGTGTAAGACAATGTACACTGCCAGGCACTATTATTGTCAGTATTACTGTTAAGAATCTTCCCTTAAAATTCTCCTCTTTCCTTTTTTTTTTTTTTTTTTTTTTTTTTTGAGTAAGAGTCTCACTCTGTCACCTAGGCTGGAGTGCAGTGGCACACTCATGGCCACTGCAGCCTCGACCTGCTGAGCTCAGGCGATTCTTCCACCTCAGTCTTCCAAGTGGCTTCTGATTCCAATAAGATAATGTGCTTGCCTAACACCTGAACTAGATCTTTATAGTGGGACAGCATACATATTTTAAGTCTTACTAAGAGAAGATCTATAGTCTTTACATGTCCTCCTAGGGGGAAATGCTTCATTCTATCTATACATTTCCCACTTATTGAGCATTTATTATGTGCTAGCTCTTAACTGTCTGGAGGAGGTAGGGGAGGGTGACTAAGGGATATAGAGAGAATAGGGCTGAAGTATGAACAGAGGAAGCCTACTGAAGGCAGTATTGTCTAAGTTGAGATTTAAAGGTCAGTAGCTTAACTCTAAGAAAACCCCCTGCTTATAAGTGGGTTGACACCCCTCCACCAGGTTCCTCATTCAGTCAACACTTTTATACTAGGTCTTTGCTTTGACTCTGCAACACTCTCACAGTGCTAAGGACCATCCAGAGGGGTGAATCAATTCAGAGTCACTGTAGCAGAACAACATACATATCTTAGTTCTTATTAAGAGAAGGCTTATAGTTATTTTCAGATGTCCTCCACAATTTCTTCATGCTTTTTCTTCCCTGTAATTTAAATTATTCTTATCCAATCAGAGAAGATTTTCAGAGTGGAAAATTCCAAAGGAACAAAACCATTCCGCCCAGATCTATTCCTGGAAACAGCAGAGGAAAAAGAGCTAGAAGTAAGTAAATCCTCACTGTATTCATTTATTTGACCTGTTGTAACAAATTGCCATAAATTTAATGGCTTAAAACAACAAAATGTATTCAGTTACAATTCTGGAGGTCAGAAGTCCAAAATCAAGTTCTTAGCAAGGTCACGCTCCCTCCAGAGGCTCTAAGGGGAGAGTTAATTCATTCCTTATCTCTTCCAGAAGCTTCTGGTGGCTGTTGACATTGCTTGGCTTGTAGTCACACAGTCCAATCTTTGCCTCTTGGTCACACCTTCTCTTCTGTCTATTCTCCCTCCCTCTCTCTTATTAGGTCACGTGTGATTACATTTGGGCCCATTCAGATAATCCAGAATAATCACCCCATCTCAAGATCCTTAACTCAGTTGCATTTGCAAAGGCCCTTTTTCCAAGTAAGGTAACAGTCACACGTTCCAGGGATTAGAACACAGATGTGTCTTTGGGAAACATCCTCAGCCTACCATATTTCCCATGCCCTTTTCCTTCTCCTCAACTCAGAAAAGAGCTGGCTTCTAAAGCATATATCTCATTCTCAATTTTTTATCATTTATTTACTTGTTTATTTATTTCAATAGCTTTAAGGTGTACAAATAGTTTTTGGTTACATGGTTGCATTGCACAGTGGTGAAGAAGTCTGGGCTTTAAGTGGACCCACCAACCCCCATTTGTGCACATAGTACACAATAGGTGATCTTTTTAATCTCTCCACCCCTTCCTCTCCTCTCCCTTTTGTGTCTCCAGTGCCCATTATACCATTCTCTATGTCTTTGCATATCCTTATTTAGTTCCCACTTACAAGTGAGAACATGTGTTTAGTTTTCTGTTCCTCAGTTCACTTAGAATGATGTTCTCCAATTCCATCCAAGTTGCTGCAAAAGACATTATTTCATTCCTTTTGATAGCTGAATAGTATGCCACAGTGTATATATATATATATGACATTTTCATTATCCACTGATTGGTTGATGGGCATTTGGGTTGATTTCACATCTTTGCAACTGTGAATTGTGCTACGATGAACATGCGGGTGCAGGTGTCTTTTCTTATATGACAGCCTCTGTTCTTTTGGGTAGATTCATTCTATTTTATATTATGTGTAATATTTGTACATATTTACAGGGTATATGTGATATTTTGTCACATACATAGAATGTGTACTGAGTAGGCAGGGTATTTAGGATATCCATCACCTCAAGTGTTTGTCATGTTGCTATGTTGGAAACATTTCAAGTTCTCTCTTTTGGTTACTTTGAAATACTCACCACGCTGTTGTTAATTAAAGTCACCCTACTCTGCTATTGAAAATTAGAACTTATTTATTCTATCTAATTGTATGTTTGCACCCATTAAGTAACTTCTCTTCATCCTCCACCCTTCCCACCACCATCACCACATATATACTCTTACTAGTCTCTGGTATCTCTCATTCTGCTCCCTACCTCCAGAAAACATGATATTTGTCTTTCTGTGTCTAGCTTATTTCACTTAACATAATGACCTCCAGTTCCATCCATGTTGCTGCAAATGGTTTGGTTTCATTGTTTTTATGGCTGAATAATATTGCAGTGTGCTTATATCCCATATTTTATTGATTCATCTACTGATAGGTTGATTCTATACCTTTGCTATTGTGAACAGTGTTGAAATAAACATGAAAGTGTAGGTATCCCTTTGATAAACTGATTTATTTTTCCTTGAATAAATACCAGTCATGAGATTACCAGATTACATGGTAGTTCTATCTTAAGTTTTTTGACAAATCTCCATACTGTTTTTCATAGTGACTGTACTAATTTACATTCCTACTAACAGTGTGTAAGAGTTCCTTTTCTCCCCATCCTCATCAGCTTCTGTTATTGTTTCCCTTTTAATAATAATTGTTCTGAGGTAAGATGATATCTCATTGTCGTTTTGATTTGCATTTTTCCTGATGATCAGTGATGTTGAACATTTTTTCATATATCTATTGGTTATTGTATGTCTTTTTTTGAGAAATATCTATTCATGACCTTTGCCTACTTTTTAATGAGTTTTTTGTTTGTCTGTTTATGTTTTTTGTACTGTTGAGTTCCTTGTGTATTCTGGAATAATCACCCTTGTCAAATGAATAGTTTTGAAAATATTTTCTCCCATTCAACAGGTTGTCTTTTTATTCTGTTGACTGTTTCCTTTGCTGTGTGAAACTTTTAGTTTAAATAGTCCCATTTATCTATTTTTTATTTTGGTTGCCTATGTTTTTGAGTCTTAGTCATATAATTTTTGCCTAGACCAACGTCCTGAAGTTTTTCCATATGCTTTCTTCTAGCAGTTTTACATTTTGGGGTCTTATACTTAAGTCTTAAATTTATCTTGAGTTTATTTTTATATATGAGGAGATATAGGATTCCATTTTCATTCTTTTGCATATGGATACTCTGGAATAAATCTCACTCAATCATGGTGTTTTAGCTTTTTGATATGCTGTTGGGTTCAGTTTGCTAGTATTTTGTTGAAGATTTTTTTATCTATGTTTATCAGGGATATTGGCCTATAGTTTTCTTTTTTGTTGTTATGTCTTTGTCTGGTTTTGATATCAGAATAATGCTGGCCTTGTAGAATGAGTTCTCTTTAATTTTTTTGGAATAGTTTGAGAAAAATTTGTGTTCATTCTTCTTTGAAAATTTGGTAGAATTTGGCAGTAACTTTATTGAAAGAATTTTTATTACTTGTTATTGGTTTGTTCAGGTTTTCTATTCTTTCCCCTTTTTTTTCCCCCCATTCTTTCCTAATTCAATCTATGTAGTTGTATTTGTCCAGGAATTCATCCATTTCCTCTAGGTTTTCCAGTTTGTTAGTAGTTGTTCACAATAGTCTCTGATAATCTTTTGTATTTCTGTGTTATCACTATGTCTTTTTCTCTTATTTTGTTATTTGAGTCTTCTCTCTCTCTCTCTCTCTCTCTCTCTCTCTCTCTCTCTCTCTCTCTTTCTCTCTCTCTCTCGTTTTGTTATTATAGCTAGTGATTTATCAATTTTGTTTATCTTTTTAAAAGGAAGTTTTTTTATTGATCTTTTCTTTTTCTCAGTCTCTATTTTTTTAGTTCTACTCTGAGCTTTATTATTTCTTTCCTTCTGCTAATTTGGGGCTTGGTTTGTTCTTGCTTTTCTAGTTCCTTGAGATGCATCACTAGATGATTTATTTAAGTTCTTTCTGCTTTTTTAATGTAGGCATCGAACAGATCTCCAAATCTGATAAATCTTCATACTGTTTTCCATAGTGGCCGTACTAATTTGCATTCCTACTAACAGTGTGTAAGAGTTCCTTTTAGGAACTTTTAGCACTAATTTTGCTGTAAACCATAGGTTTTTGTATGCTATATTTTGATTTTCATTTGTTTCAAGTAATTGTTTTTCTTCCTTAATTTCTTCATTGATCCAATGGTCATTCAGAAGCATGCTGTTTAATTTACATATATTGGTATAGTTTCCAGAGTTTCTCTTGGCATTGATTTCTAGTTTTATTTCACTGTAGTCTGAGAAGATATATGATAGAATTTCCCCTTTTTAAAAATATGTTGATACTTGTTTCTGTCTGAATATATGGTCTATCCTGGAAAATGTTCCATGTGCCGATGAAAAATTTATTTGGCTATTGGATGAAATGTTCTGTAAACGTCTGTTAGGTCCATTTGGTCTAATGTGCAGTTTAAACCCAATATTTATTTGTAAGTTTTCTGTCTAGATAATCTGTCTGATGCTGAGAGTAAGGTGCTGACGTCCCCAGTCGTTATTGGATTGGAGTCTATCTCTCCCTTTATCTAATATTAATGTTAGATATCTGGGTGCTCCAATGTTGGGTGTATATATATTCATATTTGTTATATTATCTTGTTGAAGCAATTCCTTTTCAACATATAATGACCTTCTGTATGTCTTTTTACAGTTTTTTATTTAAATTCTGTTTTGTCCGATATAAGCATAACTACTCCTGCTCATTTTTGGTTTCCATTTGTATAAAATACCTTTCCCGTTTCTTTACTTTCAGTCTATATATGTCTTCACAAGTGAGATGAGTTTCTCTAGGCAGCATATAGTTGAGTCATTTTTTTGTCCATTTATCCAGTTTATATCTTTTAAGTGGAAAGTTTAATTCATTTACATTTAAGTTTATTATTATGTGAGGATTTATTCTTGTTGTTTTATTAATTGATATCTAGTTGTTTTGTATATCCGTTGCTCCTTTCTTTCTCTTGTTAATTATTGCGGTTTTGTGGTTTTTTATAGTGATAACATTTGAGACCTTTCTCTTCCTTCTTTGTGTGTTTGCTTTACTACTGTTTTTTTTTACTTTCATTTGTTTTCATGATGGTACATATCATCCCTTCACTTCTAGAAGTAGGGCTACCTTAAGCATTCCTTATTGGATCAGACTAGTGGTGATGAATTCCCTCAGCTTTCACTTGTCTAGGAAAGACTTTATTTCCCCTTATATATGAAGGATAAATTTGCTGTATATGGTATCCTTGACTGACAGGTTTTCTTTATCTTTTAGCACTGTGAATATATCATCTTTCTCTTCTCACCTATAAGGTTTCTGCTGAGATATCCAGTTAGTCTGATGGGGGTTCCCTTATAAGTGACCAGACACTTCTCTTACTGTTCTTAGAGTTATCTCTTTGTCTTTGGCGCTTTCCGATTTTACTATAATGTGCTGTGGAGAAAGCCTTTTTGAATTGTATCTATTTGGGGATCTAGGTATCTAACTCTCTTGCTAGACTTTGGATATTTTCAGCTATTATTTTGTTAAAAAGTTTTTTATCTCCATCATTTTTTCTTTGTCTTCTAGGACACCAAAAGTTTGAACATTTGGTCACTTTTGGGGTCCTATATATGTCATGTAGGTTTTATTCTTTTGTTGTTATTGTTCTTTTTTCCTTTATTTTTGTCTAACTGGATTATTTCAAAAGATCTGTCTTTATTGTTCAGAAGTTATTTCTTCTGCTTGATCTAGTCTATTGTTGGTGCTTTCAAATGTATTTTGTATTTCACTCCATTAATTCTTCAGTTCCAGAATTTGTTTGAGTTTTTTTTTTTTTTTTTATGATATCTGTTTCTTTGGTAAATTTCTCATTCCTATCCTGAATTATTTTTCTGATGTCTTTGTATTGTCTTTCTATATTCTCTTGTATTTCACTGAACTTCTTTATTTAAATTCCTTTTTGAGAATTTCATAAATTTATTTTTCATTGGAATCTGTTGCTGCAGAATTATTGTGTGATCTTAGAGATATCATATTTCCTTGTTCTTTTATGTTTCTTGTGTTTTTATGTTGACATCTGTGCATCTTATGTGACAATTATTTCTTCCAATTTTTTTTAACCTGTCTTTGAATGGGAGGACTTTTTCCTAAAGATGTATTAATGTTGTTGGTTGGGTAGGGGCACTTTGGATTTGATTCTGGATGTGTGCAGTAGTGTAGTCACCAAATGATTTCTAAACAGTGTCAGCATTGTCTGTTATTTCCTCAGTGACTTAGGGTATGGTTGTTACGGGAGGTTGTGGTGAAGCTTTTTCTGGGGTTGGGGATGCTAGGTGAGCCAGTCCTCAGGCCTCCATGGTGGAAGCTGCAGGCCAAGCATGCCTGTCCTTGGGTTCCTGGGCAGAATATGCTGGTGCTCACATTAGTGAGTCTAGATGGGGCAATTCCTGGGGCTTCAGGAAGTTTACTCAGATGTTGGTAGTGGCAGTAGTGAGTCAAGCTGGTAGGCGGGTTCTTGGATCCTTGGGCAACTGGCATGACGTTGGTGATGGTCGTAGCAGTGATGGGACAAGCTTCTGGTTTTCAAGTGGTTTGCGCTGGTGTTGGCAGTAGCTGCAATAGCTGGACAAGCCAATCTACAGTCTCACAAGTGAGGCATGCTGGTGAGTGCCAGCTGTGGTGGTAGTGGCAGGTTGTCTGGGCCTGCCCTCAGTTCCCCAGATGGGGACTCGGGTGCCAACAGTGGTGACCTGGGTTAGGTGATCCCCAGGCCCCCAGGTGGTATGTTGGGCACTGAGATGGTGAAACTGGGCAGGACAGACCTCTCTTCAGGCCCTCCAGTGGTAAATGCAGGCACTAGCTATGGCAGACAGAGATCATTTTCAAATTTTATGAGCTAAGTGAACAAGATGTGCATAGAATATAGTTATTGTACTTATAAATATTATCTATTGATTTAAAAAGAAATATGTCAACATCTAGAAAAAAATAAAGACATACTTTCACACTTATTTTGCCTTTCCTCTGAAGGAAATAGAGCTTTTCTCTCTGCATTTGCTTAACTTTTTAATAATCTCTCAAAAAGACCTTTAAGACCTGTGAAAAATTTATATTTTTTTCTTTTAGTGTTTTCCCTCAGCTTTAATAATCTAAGAAATAGTGAATAAAACTTTTTTAGATACTCATCGACTTTAAACAAAAATACCTTTTGTTCCTGGCAGGGCAAAAAGAGAGAGAGATTCTTTTAATTTACAAAAAACATCAGATGACTTTCATGCCCTGACTCTACAGGGCACTAGTGGACCATTTTTACCTCAACTCTCCCCTCTCTTTTTCAGTACTAAAGCCATATTGTAGCCCCAAGCTTCTGACACGCAACTGCTTCTATACCTGCCTTCTCCTCTCATTCCTTCCTTTCTTCCTGCTTTCCTGAAATCTGGGATTCCTCCACACATATCAGTATATCTCTTCTCAAATCATCCTTTCTGGCCTGAGTATATTCGAATGCTTATACCCTTTTTCACTAAAGCATCATCATTCTCAATTTACTTGTGTCGTTGGGTGGTTCTGGAATTAGAAATGAAAAATAAGATTTCATGTCAAGTATCTAGTTACAATAGGCTTGAAACTAGATTATTCAGCAATGCTCTGAAAGCACCCAGTGCCATTGGCTTGAGAAACCCCTGCAGATACCAAAATCCATAGCTGCCCAAGTCTCTGATATAATGATATATTATTTGTATATAACCTACACACATTCTCCCATACACTCTAAATTGTCTCTAGGTTACTTATAATCCTTAATATAATGTAAATGCTATGTTAGTGTTTGTTATACTACATTGTTTAGGGAATAATAAGAGGAAAAAAGTCTGTGTTCAGTACAGACACGATCATCCAGTTTTTTTTTCAAATATTTTTCATCCCTAGTTGGTTGAATCCATGCATGTAGAATCCACGGATACAGACAGAAGGCCTCTGGTATTTCACTCTGTAGCACTGTGTCCACTCAATTGTTTGTTGTTTCTGTTCATTCTCCTCTAAGGTAGTTAGCAGATGACTTGCCAAGGCAAGAGCATCATCTAGTGGAAAACTTAGGCAACCACAGGCTATACCTAGCCCTTTCTCAGAAGATTGTTCAGGTAAAGTACAGGAGCAGGGATTGCATTTAGTATCCCTTATGATCCTGTTTTTAGCCAGAGTGAAAAACAAGTATGGTTTTCACCACACTTTTTGATCAAACAAAAGCTTCAAACAAGCGGTAGCAGATGAGGCTTCCATGGGCTTTCTCCTGTCTCCCTCCCTCTTTCTCTGTATTCCTTCTCCATGTCACTCCACTGCAACTGTGCAATACAATCACCTGGGATTTTTTAAAAAGCTACTGCCATTTACCCATATATTATGTGGGGTGTACCATACTAATGAATTATTCATTGTTTATCAATCCAAATTTCACTGGATGTCCTGTGTTTTTAATTTGCTAAATCTGGGAACCCTATTAAGGGCACTTTGAAGCCTGTAATATCAGAATCTCTTTGGGTGAGGCCTGGGCATAAGAAGTTATATAAATGCTTTCTAGGCAATTCTACCATTAGTTGCGGTTGAGCTTTTATTTTCACTTGGAGTCACTTGCCTCATATTCACTGAGACAACTATTTTTTGCCCTCTCCAACATAAACCCTGCACAATCTCATAAAGCATTTAGTATACCTCCCCCATCAACTCAACCTTTATCCAAATTAGTAACACATTTTCATTAATTTCACCCAAGGGAACGGCTGGGTAAGGCGGCGCAGGTGGTGATGCCTGAGACAGAAACTGCTGAGAACTTGTCCTCACTGTCAGAGTTGGAGATATTTTTAAACTATTCCTGCCTTAATTACTTCCATCAAGGAAATAAGATATAATTCCATCTTGATTGAACATACCATCCCCTTAACTAATTTTCCCCTTTTTTTCTTCCAGGTATATCTACTTGTAAAAAACTGTTGGGAGGAAGATCCAGAAAAGAGACCAGATTTCAAAAAAATTGAGAGTACACTGGCCAAGATATTTGGGTATTGCTAAATTGTTTTCTTTTATTCACTAATTTTGGAGTTTTCAATTATAGTTCATATTCCGCAACACCTAAGAATGAAAATGTTTATTCCAGTGAAAAATCTCAGTTTGCAACTAACACCTGTCTCATGAAATTAAGATGATATGGCGACTAAAAGACCATTTTCTCAGAAATAATCACTTGAAAAGCTCAATATTCAAATTCAGAACTTTTCTGATTACAAAATAAATTTTGGCTGATTATAAATTTTTCTGTTAGAAATATAGCTTTCAGATCCTTCTGCAGGTAGTTAAGATTTATAGGTGTAACACTGGTCCCTAGACAGTTCTTAAGATCAGCACGTTTCTGAAGGTCTTAAAATCACCAGTTTGGCCCTAGCTACTTAAGACTTGTGTCATGAGACAGATTATAATCAGGGTGGGGGAAAAAAAGCACACAATTACTCAGTAAGATTGGGTTCTAGCTATCCCATGTTTTCAGTTAATATACTACAGAATGAGGAAAACAGCACCGAATTAAGAGAGGAAATCCAATTTCTAGACAAGTCTCTGATAATAGTTTGCTGTAGGGCATGGGGAAAAACTCTTACCCTCAGGGAATATCGATTTTCTTGTTAGGAAAAATGGAATCAAACGAGATGCTTTCTATGATTCCTTTCAGATCTAACTTTCTATAGTTCCCATTGGGTCAAAAGATTCAGATAACTAAGAGGCTAAATTCCAGGGATGGATATAAGGTACAGTGAAGGTAATGAAAGCATGGTCACTGATTGGTAGAACTAAGCTGTCAGTTGTGGGACTGGGACAGGAAATAATAAAGGATTTAATTCTGTCTCCTTTCTCCCTTCTTTATAGTTCTGTTACTAAGATCAGATGAGATTGTATGTGTGACCTATGAGATGTAAACTCATGAAGAAACTGGCTCTTAGATATTTAGGCTTTAATATGTTAGCTCTCAAACTTGGCTACACATTAGAATTAGCTGAGGGATTTTTTTAAATACTGATACTGGGGTTCTACCCTAGAGAGTCTGATATAATTGGACTGGGGTACAGGCTGGTATCAAAAGTTTTAATAGCTCCCCAGGTGATTAAAATATGCAGTCAAGGCTGAGAAAGCTGTTTTAATTGAATCCATTAATCATGGGGTAAGATCATCTGTCTTCATCCCTTACACCTGCTCCCCTATCCCTTCTGCCCACCTAGAGTCTACACTGGTGGTTTGAAGTAAAAATATCCTGTGGAGCTTGTTTAAAAATTCTGTTTTTTAATCCCAAGCCTAGCAATTTTGGGTCACAAAAGTCTGAGGCAGGACTCAGATTTGTACTGGATTTTTAAGAAACACCCCCCATCCTTGAGGATTCTATGTAGGCCATCTCCTGGGAGTAGAAGTGGTATCCATAATTGTTATTGCTGTGATAATGACATGGCTGTGATTTATTCAGCCCCTTTAATTGTGCCTTATATGTTACGTATCATACATTATCTCTGTTCCTCACAATGCTACAAGAACTCTTTGTGTCTCCTCCCTGACCTCTGCACCAAGGCTTTTTCATACTTCCCAGTGTCACACAAAGCTGGCATCTCATCTAAGTCTCCTTAGGCTTTAAGACCCTGATTCTCTGTTCTGAAGAGATAATACAGAGCTCGGCTTTGCTTTCCTTGGTCCTTCTTTTACAATTCTATTTATCGTCTTTAAAAAGATTTTCCTTTATTGCAAATTGTTTATTATTAACACTTTAGAACACATGAATACACAAGCAAGAAAGTAATAACATTACTTGCTTTCTGACAGATGACTACCAATCTTCCAAAAGTAAAACTGTGATTATAATTGTTGCTGTTTTATAACCTGACTTTTTTCACCTAATACTTTAGTGTATATAACTAGTGTAATTTCTGTGTATTTATTCTAATTTTTATTTTATGAGACATTCATATTTCATTGTCCCATAGCATTTAGGTTATTTTCAAATGTTTGCCGTTGTAAGGAATGCTGTGACTTTCACTGTTGTTAACTCTAAACATGTTTGTGATTGTTTCCTTAAGAGAATTCTTAGAAGTAGAGTCAATGAGTGATAGGCATACACATTCTTAAAGCTTGTGACACATCTTACTAGACTGATCTCCAGAAAGAGATATATATGTATATATTTCCTTCTTCTACATTGAGTACCATCATTCTAACATTTGTTCTTCTTTTTTTGATCCTATTTTTATTTCTCTGTCTTTGATTTCACCTGAGGATAAACTATTTTGTTGTGTTCATTAGCCCTTTTTATTTATTTATTTTTTGGTTTAATTACCTGTTCATCATGTTTGTCCATTGTTTTACTGGATGTTTGTGTTTCCTTAGTAATGTATACAAGCTCTTTATCTGTTACTACCTACAGCCTTTTTCATGACCAAAAGAATGAAAGCTATATGGATACTTTGATCCGACGTCTACAGCTATATTCTCGAAACCTGGAACATCTGGTTGAGGAAAGGACACAGCTGTACAAGGCAGAAAGGGACAGAGCTGACAGACTTAACTTTATGTTGCTCCCGAGGTAAGGCAAGTCCTCCTGCTGATGTGGTTCCCATAATTCCACAGCCATGCTGCACAGCTTGAGCCTGAAACCTTCAGCTTATCCTTCTAGTATTGTTTTTCTTTGTGTCTATACAAGGTTGTTTTCTTTTGCACATTTTTCAACAGCCAGAGCCCATAATCTCCTCTAACAAACCTGACTGACCTCAAAATCTCAAACTTCTGAAAGTCCAGTCACCTGCATGAAAACTGGGAGGCAGATCACAGCATGGGGGAGATAGTTCAAGCACAATTGGCAAGTGGTGTCTCATAACCTTGTGCAGAGGGGCAGGTTACAGAAGAAGACGGGTAAAACCTAGAAGCAGGTATTTAGAAGCCTCAATGCCTAGAAGAGAGGTTATTTTCAAACAGTTGTGTGGTACCAGGGAAGGAGCATGGAACTGTGGAATTCAGTGGACCAAGTTGTGTTCCAATACCTCTTTGCCTTGCTGTCTTTCTTTAGTCTCAAAATGAAATTCAAGTTTTCCTGCAGAATATAAGAGCTACAAGACATTTTCAGGAAGTAAGTGGTAGTTTCTTTGTTAACCTCTTTTCACCATAACTAGAAGCCAAGTTACAAGAAGCAGAAGCCATCTTGTTGGAAGAGGTAGGGGAAATGCATTAGATGTCTCACTATAGAGGCATCTATGAGCTGACCACCATTTGGTGAAGCGATATTACAGCCATGATGAAAGAGAGATGAAGTAAGACTGAAATCTCCAAACAGGTTAAAATTTTTAAAGTGTGACGAGCCAGAAACTAAAATGTAAAGAGCTGGGAGATAGGTTCCATTCACAAATGTGCACAAGTGAGAGGTAATGTTTTCTTTTCATTAAAGTGTAACAAACTGTATCAATGGATTAAGTATAAACTAGGCAGTCCAGATTTGGATAAAATTGTGGAAATTGAGATCAGCTAGGCCTAACTTCAAAGCATGGTTCACCATCTACTACTGATGCACAATCTTGGGCCTGAATGCTCCAAAGTCTCAGTTCCCCATCTGTCTTCCAGAGTGGCTTTACTAATTCCTTGAGATAATGTACAGGATATAAGGGTACCCAGCACAGTGACTGAAATATCCATATTGCTTATTATTATGCAGACAACAATGACTTTTGTATATTGCTTGTATTATTATTTTATTTTGAACCCTTGCTTTATTTAGCATATCAGCTTTACGTGAGTAAAGGAAAGATTTTGAGATCATATGAGCTGTTTTTCAAATATAGAAACAGTTTGTCTTCGACAACCCTGAGCCAAGAGTCGGGCATGACACTTGTGCTCCTCTCTTCAGTCATCTGGGCCTGAAGAGAGCCTAACGCAGAACCCACGCGCCCTCAGGGCACCTGGGAATAGGTTGGCAATAGGGCCCTGGGAATAGGCTGGAACTCTTCCCATTCACTTCAAGGAGTAGCAATTTCTGTCAAAGCGCCATGAAGTTTTATTAGGCAATACATAATTCCTTGCCTGATCTTTAGTGCCAAGTTGTAACAAAAACAATACCCTGGTTATCTGGTTGTATTCCAGAGTTTCATCGTGTTTTTAACCAATCATGTCATTCAATGGCTTGAAAGAACCAGCTCACCACCTCAACGTTTTTTCTAGCCTCGGCTCAGGAAAATACCACTTTGACCACTAGATGGTAGATGTTTTTATTAGATTGCCAAAGGTTATATAACACAAACCTCTTCAAGAGGTACAATAGACCATGACTGTAGCACAACTCACTTTGATTATTTATGTAAACATTTTTTATATTTGAAAAACAAAACTCAAACATGCATGAGCAATAACTAGAAAAATAAAAAAGAAATATTTATTGCAAAGGGACAAACAAGACTAAGACTGCATGTAGGAACCAGATACCACTTAAACACATTTGAACACTACCTCTTTGGGGTTGTGAAACAGATTAAAATAGAAGTTTTTTTCTTCTTGTGGGAAGCCATTCTAAGACATCTACTCTGTATAATAATTCTGTTGATGTCAACAACAAACTGTTATTAAGACATCCTGTTAAGTCCCATCCCTTCCTTCATTTATCTGCCAACATTAATTTCTCTTTCTGGATAACACACTATTTTCCAAGCTCATGTGACTTTTCAGATACAAGCAGTGAGATGAATGGCAAAATAGCAGAATATCCAATTTAGTCACCACGTCTGTCTAGCCTTCAAAATACTCCACATTTTGTACTAGACATCCAACCCAGATTTGCTTCTGCGAACTTAACAAGCCACACCCAAGGAATGCTTTTTCAGAGGCCCCAAGTTTTGTCACTACATCAATTAGAAATACCTCCCATGATGCTCTGGAGGTTCTCCAATTGAGTGTTACAGATCCGTGGCTGACTGGTTGGTTGCTTTCCAGGAAGCCCTGTGCATTCTTCCTTTGCCACACTCAGCACGCCTCCAGATCCTCCCCATCTCCCTAAATACTCGAAACCTGGGTTGTGGAGGAAGTGTAGAGCAAATAAAAAGACTAAAGGGTGGAATGTTGCTGGGTTGTAGTCCCAGTTCTGTCCTTAATGGACTGTGTGGGGCCTTACAGAATTTGTATTTCCTGAAGCCCCAGCTTTCTCGTTTGGAAAAATACAGGATTTATTTTCAGCAACCTCTTAGGCACCTCCCAGATTCCAGGTTCTGATTCAAGTGGTTTCATACTCAAGGCCACTCACTGCAAAGTGATCCCAAAGGCATGGATAGCTTTATGTCAGCCCCCACTTCCTTTCTCAGTGAAGAGGCAATTTGGCACCCAAAGAAGTATGGTGTTCCTTCTTGTGGTTCTTTTCTCTTAGTCCTCAGTCTGCTATGCTGCTCCTTACAGCGCTTCAGCAATGATCTTCCAAGTTGCTTCTATTTGACTTCTGCAGTTTTAGCATAATTTTAACTTGTTTACATGAAGACTGACTTTGCTTCTTAAAGGACACAAATCTGGCTGAAAATTTATCAAGTAAATTCTGATTCAGAATATATCAAAATCAATTTTAAACTCTAGTTCGGAATCAATTTTAAGTTCTGGTTCAGGATATATCAAAATCAATTTTAAATGCATTATTTCTTCACAGTGATTTTAACCAATGCCACGTCAAATGTGCCAGGGAAATAAAACTATCAACTTTGATGAGAAAGTCAGATATGATAGCTATGGTGATTCAAATAATAACACACTCTTCTTTTAAGCTTCTGCATATAGAGCTATATCTGTAAAAAGTTGAGTATAAATAGAGAGGCAAAACGTGGGCAACTATAGTCTATATTAGGGTTATGTAGATACCAAGGTTACCTGTGTATGTGTATTAGGGTCAATAATCAAATACTAAGTTAATATGAATCTAAATATGCTTATATTCATCTGTGTTCACATATGTATTATATGTGTATATGTATGGCACAGTATGCAACCTATCTTTGCTTCCCAGCCACTCAATTCACTGGAAATCCCAAAATCTAGAATTCCTGGTTGACAATCACTACTATCTGAAAGATTTATGTAAGACAAGGAAATATGTGCTGAAATTGAAGGCATTTTTTTTCCTTCCTCATCCAGGCTGGTAGTAAAGTCTCTGAAGGAGAAAGGCATTGTGGAGCCAGAACTGTATGAGGAAGTTACAATCTACTTCAGTGACATTGTAGGTTTCACTACTATCTGCAAGTACAGTACCCCCATGGAAGTGGTGGACATGCTTAATGACATCTATAAGAGTTTTGACCACATTGTTGATCATCATGACGTATATAAGGTAACCTTGTCACCTAACAGGCTGAAACAATTGTACAACCCAAGGTCATCAGAGCCCAAATTAGCTCCTGTTATTACTCTTATCCTCTCTAATTTAACATGTAATGAAATTGTGGCTGAATCCAAGTTAAAAGTAAGAAATGGAAGAATCAAAAGGATCAGAGGTCAAAATTATCATTTAACTTTAAGAAGCAGTATGACCGGGCTCAGTGGCTCAGCCAGTAATCCCAGCACTTTGGGAGGCCAAAGTGAGTCGATTGCCTGAGCCCGTGGGTTCAAGACCAGCCCGGGCAACTTGGCAAAACATCATCTCTGAAATAAACTTTTTTAAAAAAATTAACCGCACGTGGTAGCACGCACGTGTAGTTCCAGCTACTTGGAAGGCTGAGGTGGAAGGATCACCGGAGCCCAGCAGGCCGACACTGGGGTGGCCGTGAGCATGCCACTGCACTCCAGCCTGGGCAATGGAGTGAAACTCCAACTCATTAAAAAAAAAAAAATATAGCACAAAAGAAACAACATGAAGTTCAGCAGAAATGAATTTTGGATGTTAAATCTATAGAAATTACTCTCAAGTCACTTCCAAAACATGGGCAATGTTTAGGCTGATTGCAAATGATGCAGATAAAATTCTAATATTAATTAGAACACCATACTACAATGTCTATTATGTCTTGGAGGAACTTACAATTACATCTTGTCAAATAGTATGTAAAAAATAATAAGTACTAAAGATAACTTTTTTGATAATTCAAAGAATTCCTAAAATTACATAAAGCCATTCAGATTATTTAAACATCTATAGAATTGTCACCACATCTGGATAATTTATATAATTATCAAGTACTTATAAAAGGTTAAAATCCTTTATAGCTGATTTATTATCCAATTTAACTAAGCCGGGCTCGGTGGCTCAGCCTGTAATCCCACGCTTTGGGAGGCTGAGGTGAGTGGACTGCCTGAGCCCGCAGGGTCGAGACCCGCCTAGGCAACTTGGCGAGACCTCATCTCTACAATAAATCAAAAAAATTAGCCAGGCGTGTAGCGCGTGCCTGTAATTCCAGCTACTACTTGGAAGGCTGAGGCAGAAGGATCACCAGAGCCCAGCAGGTTGAGGCTGCGGTGGCCGGGAGTGGCCACTGCACTCCAGTCTGGGTGACAGAGTGAGACTCCAACTCAAAAAGAAAGAAAGTACATAGAAGTGGTCTTGAGCTGGCCCTAGAAAAAGTATGAAAGACTATATTCATATGGTGTTCCTAAAAAACCATTTTTGTGTTTGATATGTGATTAACTACCTCTGCTTAATTTCTGTGCCTTTCAAAGGAGCAGAGCTACTGATAAGAAATTATTTCCACAGGTAGAAACCATTGGTGATGCTTACATGGTGGCTAGTGGTTTGCCTAAGAGAAATGGCAATCGACATGCAATAGACATTGCCAAGATGGCTTTGGAAATCCTCAGCTTCATGGGCACCTTTGAACTGGAGCATCTTCCCGGCCTCCCAATATGGATTCGCATTGGAGTTCACTCTGGTATGGTTTTGTGTATCATAGCAAATGAGAACCATATGTCCACTGTGCACCAACTAAATCAAGAAAGGATAAAGGATCTTCATGTAATTGATTTCATATGAGGTTTACTCTTGAATCCTGTATGCCAAATGTGGGGTCCCACTACACATCCTGACATACTGAGACCCAGGCTCTAGAGAAGTCTATGACCAACACCTTTGATAGCACCTTTGACTCTAGGAATGATAAATACCAACTATATCCCAAAACAAAAAGTTCTGACTTCCTAAGTCACCATAGCTATGGTTTCATTTATCTCCTCCCCATTTCCTTTCTCTCCCCACCCCCAACTTCTGTATGTCTTTCCACTAAAATATTGTACTACCTGAAGTGGATTAGATCATCAACAGGGGGGAAAAATAGCTGGTCAAATCCCTTTAATATTTTACTCCCACCCCCATTGCAGTGGTACAGAAAGTATTTGGGCCGCTTCAAAAATCATGAAAGTTACATAGCCTTGTTTAAAAAAAAAACCTTTAGAAAAAGTAAATTGAAAATAGTTTAATTGAGCAAAGAATGATTTGCAAATCTGGCAGCCCTTAAAACCAGAAGAGATTCAGAGAACTCCACTGAGCAATGTGGGCAGGCAATATTTATAGACAGAAAACAGACATGAAGTACAAAAACAGCTTGATTGGTTACAGCTCCGTGTTTGCCTTATTTGGGCATAGTCTGATCAGTTGGCAGCCAGTGATTGACTGAAGCTCAACTACTGTGATTGGCTGAGACTCAGTTATTTGTTACAAAAGTATACTCCTAAGTTAGGCTTTTAGTGTGTTTATGTACCAAACTAGACTGTAGTTTGTTATGTAGGGACTTGTACATACAAGGCAGTCTCAGGACAAATTTAGTTTAATTTAATAACCTTGAACATAGAGATTTGAGAAGATGAGTTACAGGTGTTACAGAAAAACATACTTGAAGAAGATCCCAGGAGTCATCAGATTAATCCTTTGCAGGACATAAATTGTCTTTACAGGTTCCAAGATAAGTAGTAATATAGCTACTTTTAGAATAATCCTAAAATTCCCCCCAAACTCACTGCTTCTCAAGCCAACTCACTCCACTATTAAAGAGATATAATTGTTGGACAGGTTTTCCTTGAGTTAAATTATATCTCTATAATTTCTTGTCATTGTTCCATTGCTAGAAAAGACTTAGGTCAAATACATTGAAAAGTTGCAAAGTTAAACATTGATAATTGAGAAAAAGATATAATATATGCAGGGATTTTTTTTCACTAACCTGCCCTTCCCAGCTTTGTCATTTTGGTTTTTGAAGTAAGGACTGAGTCACTTGTAAATATACCTACCAGTCCTAACACACAACCTCGTACAGTTGGGAGCTCAGAGATTTGATCAAGTAGCTGGTCCACTGTGCATTCTTTTCTGTAAGATTTTTTTTTTGGTGTTTTGTTTTGGGTTTTTGTTTTGTTTTGCATTAAACCTGACAGTGAAGGGCTAAGGACTCAGAGGAAGATTCAGTATTTTTATTTTTTCAATTTCATAGAGTATTGGCAGGGTAAATCTATAAAGAGACATATAGATCAAAACCCAGTAGGCCAACTGGAAAATTAATAGTTTCCTTTACATAAAACCCAGTTTTGCAGTTTCTGAGTTAATCTTTAACTTCTAAAATCTTTAATTCCTTGCATGCAGTCATTCCACGCAAATACCTGACTGAACAACCCTTCTTTCCTACCAAGTATCCTCCAGGGCACAGTCTTGTCTTGGCTTTTGTTCTGCTTATTAGGACATCCTTGTGCCATAGGCTTCTCCCATACAGCTACATTCACATGATCCATGAAATCCTTAAGGAGGATTATGGCTTCACCTACCTTGTCTTCTGGGTCTTCCCTCATCATGCCATCAATCCCAGAAATGCCACCCTAAAATAAAAATAAAACAAGGTTGGGCTGTTGAACCTTCAAGTCTACAGTGCCCTCCAGCAGTACGAAGTTCTCAGTTGTGTGGTTTGTCACAGAAGGCAAGCAGTGGGACTGTTTTCACCCTTCCTGAGAACCTTTTATTTAAATATTAAGAAGGACTTTCCAACTTTGTGACCTGGATCTCTGGATGCCATCCTGTTTTGTGCAAATGTTCTTTCTTTGCTAGAGAAAAATACTTTCTGGAAGCATGCTTTGTTGGGTGCATCCATTTAAAGTAAAAGTCATCTGGGTGCGGTGGTTCACACCTTGGGAGGTGGAGGCGAGAGGACTGCCTGAGCTCAAGGGTTTGAGACCAGCCTAAGGAACACGTTGAGACCTCATCTCTACAATAAATTTAAAAAAAAAATTAGCCAGGAGTGGTGGCACGTGCCTGTAGTTCTAGCTACTTGGAAAGCTAAGGCAGAAGGATCACCTGAGCCTAGCTGGTCGAGGCTGTGGTGGTCATGAGCATGCCACTGCACTCCGGCCTGGGTGACAGAGTGAGACTCGACTCAAATTAATTAATTAAAGCAAAAGTCCCAGCTTACACTTCACCTCTAAAGCCACTTCTCCATGAATATTCAGCATTGTGACTCTGCCTACCCATATCACTCCACTCTGCAAATTCCATTGCCTCTACTTCCTGTCTGTTCTTCGTTTCAGGTCCCTGTGCTGCTGGAGTTGTGGGAATCAAGATGCCCCGTTATTGCCTATTTGGAGATACCGTCAACACAGCCTCTAGGATGGAATCCACTGGCCTCCGTAAGAAGGGAGATTTTTTTTTTTTTTTCCCCAGCAAAGATTCTGTCTTCCAGCAGAGGGCAACTGTAAGATAAGAGGCACAATAAGGTGATACAAAGTACCAGTGAAATGTAGGAGTCTTCACTTTGGCCAAACACAAGCCTGTGTCAATCCAGCTTTTGCTACATTTCCTTTTATTGTTGTTTGCTGATAATTATTTTATCCTTCCCATTTTGCTCAGTGTTCAACTATTTCTGTAGCTTTGGTTTATTTGCAGTGAACTCAGGCATAGACTTCCTGGAATAGTCATGGCATTTAACATAGTTCCATGTAAGTTAAAAAAAGATTCAGTGGGCTAGATAAAACAATACACCCTGGTTCATATTCCTATTTCCCTGTTGTTTGGTTTTTCTGGAAATTGATTTTAGTAAAAAAAAAAAAATCGAACTAGTATATACAAAGAAATATATTGCTTTTGCCTGGCAAGGTAGAGGCATAATATACTTCATGAATAGATGCTCAGTAAATATCAATGACATTGATAGTAATATAAATATATAGAAGAGAGAATAAAAGACCATCAGTATATGTGGCTGGGGCTGACAAAAACACAGGAGACAAGGTGGTATTTTGGTGGTCTACTAGGTTGGAGTTAGACAGACTCAGGTGAAAATTCTAATTATGCTAATCTCTATCTGTACAAATTCAGGGGAAAGGTACCTGATCTTTCCAGCCCTCAGAAGGATGAAGATATTAGTTGAGAATGGGATACTAACCTTGCTGGGAGGGTTTCTGGAAGGCTTTGGGAAAATGTTATGCTAAGCACTTAGCAGTCCTCTGGTACATGATAGACATACAATTTAGAGTTGCCATTATTCTTACTATGTTACGGTTTGTGGTGTGCCTCTGAGGCCCCTCCTAGTGGGGAAGGTGGTATACACCAATGAGCCTATGAATAGGAACGCCCTCACCACTTGTTTGTCAGAAGAATAACAAAGTTTCAGAAGAGAAAATTTTGAGAAAATCAAGGCAGTAACTCTCTTCTGAATCTTCACCTTGCCTCCAACATTTCTGCTATTTATTGGGACTTTACACTGAGACCCAAAATCAAATTCTAACTCCCAAGCGTGGCACTACAAACCATATTCAAAACTAGGACCCACAGGCTACTACTCTGAGCTGGATGAGAATCTATGGAGCAAAACCTGGGGAGACCCTCACTCAGAACCCCCAAAACTGGTGCCAGACCCTCTTTCTTTCCATGTGTAATAATATCTCACTGTTGTTACTTTTAAGTGCTCTTTTGCTAAAATACCCACAAGTCTTTCTCCTTGATTTAGGATACTTGTTTCAGAGATCTTGATATCCTGAATCAAAGGGAAACAAATGTGGCCATATGCTCAATTTCAAAATGGATGAGATCTTTATTTATATATTTTGCACTTCCAGCCTTGAGAATTCACGTGAGTGGCTCCACTATAGCCATCCTGAGGAGAACCGAGTGCCAGTTCCTATATGAAGTAAGAGGAGAAACATTCTTAAAGGTAAGGCATCCAAAATACACAGAAAAAGCTCTGAGACACGCTTGGGCCACCTCCTTTCAGACTTGGCCAGGAAAGTTTAGGAGAATTCAGATAAAGAATTCCTGCAATGATCATCCATCATCCTTGGCCAGAGAAACTACCATTAAAGAATGTGAATTCATGGCCAGGCTCGGTGACTCAGCCTGTAATCCCAACACTTTGGGAGGCCAAGGTAAGTGGATTGCCAGAGCCTGCGGGTTCCAGACCAACCCGGGCAACTTGGTAAGATCTCATCTCTACAATAAATTGAAAAATTAGCCTGACGTGGTAGCGAGTGCCTGTAGTTCTGGCTACTAGGAAGGCTGAGGCGAAAGGATTGCAGAGTCCAGCAGGTTGACGCCGGGATGGCCGTGAGTGTGCCACTGCACTCCAGCCTGGGTGACAGAGTGAGACTCCAACTCAAAAAAAAAAAAAAGAATGTGAATTCAGACCAGCACTGTGGCTCGCACCTGTAATTCTAGCACTTTGGGTGACTGAGATGAGAGAATCACCCAAGGCCAAGAGTTCAAGACCAGTATGGGCAACCTAACAAGACCCTGTCCCTATAGAAAACAAAAATTAGCTGACTATGTAGCACACATGCATGTGTATCCCCGACTCTAAAATACAAATAAATAAATAAATAAATAATTAGCAGGGGTAGAGTGGCACCTGCTGAGTCCAAGCTACTCAAGAGGCTGAGGAGGGAGGATCACTTGTGTATAGGAATGTGAGGCTGTAGTGAACCATGATCACGCCACTGCACTCCAGCCTGGGTGACAAAACAAGTGTGTCTCTATTTTTTTAAAAAAGGATGCGAACTAAGAACTTTTCTTTACTCTGAAGAGTCTTTTTGATACTTTGAACTCTGACCAATATGTTATAAAACACTCTCTTGATATTTTGAACATTGACCCATTTGTTACAAAACACTACCACCATGTTTTCTCCATATATCCAAATTTCATACCCAGTTCCTCCTCCAAGTCCAAGAGCTACAGTCTGGTCTAGGGCTTATTTAACTTAAGTCAAAACCCCCATCGCCTCACTTACTTCCCTACTCTTACTGCAAGATCTTGCTATGATCTGAGATCACCTCTCTTGCCAGTTGCTTTACCATTCTGAAGCTCTAGACCAATGAATCGCAAGGTGTGGTCCCATCTTCACCCTGATGTGGCAATCTCTGGATGCTTGCTAAAATGCAGGTGTTTGGATACCCCACCAGGTCTACTGAACAAGAGTCTGTGGGTATAGATCAGGAATACACACACACACACACACACACACACACACACACACACACACACACACACACATTATATATATTATTATATATGCGAGGATATATATATATATATCTGATATATGCAAGGATATATATATGTATGTGTGTGTGGATATATATATATATCAGAGTCTTGCTCTGTCGCCCAGGCTGGAGTGCAGTGGCACAATCATGGCTCACCGTAACTTTGACCTTTTGGGTTCAGGCAATCCTTCTGCCTTGGCCTCCTGAGAGGCTGGGACTACAGGCATGCACCACTACTCCTGGCTAATTTTTTAGATTTCTGTAGTGACTAGGTCTTGCTGCTGCCCAGGCTAGTCTCCTGGGCTCAAGTGATCCTCCTGCCTTGGTCTCCCAAAGTGCTGGGATTACAGGTGTGAGCCATCATGCCTGGCCAGGAATCTATATTTTAACCAAATATGTGTTTTTGATCACATTGAAGTTCAAAAATCACTATTCTGGATTCTCCACGCTGTTCCTCACATTTACAACAGCTGTTCTTTAAAACCACCAACTGTCTCCAATTGGTTCTCAGGTTGCTTATCAAAAGTTATTACAATCTTTTCACAACTGGTCTAAAGCCAACTATCGACTGTAAGATTATGTCTCCAGTAACCACAATGCTTCTAGTCTTTACATGTTGATTGCAACTTGTCAAAACCTCCTGTTACGTAAAAGTATCCCAGTGTCATACTCACTTTTTGAGTCCTCCATAAATAGATTTCCTACATAAAGCATTTCCCCCAAAGTAGAAGTGATGTATGGGTTACTATACTCCAAACACAGTCAGCAAAACATTTTTTTAATGAATTTTTTTTAAAAAAGAGACTATCCAGTCTTCTTTTCAAATAGCAGCTTCAGCAAAAACACTTTCCAGTAAGTTTCCATACATTTCATAGCTTCCAGATGAGCCCCACAAAAGTCACCTAGTGAGTGCTTATGATGCTTTTGTGTTTATAATGTACACATACAAGGAAGGGAAACTGACAAGTTTTATGGAAAAACTTTGTTGCAAAAAAGACTAGAAGAAAATCTGGAGAATGCAAACGAGTTGAATGTGCTGACAGCTGACTTGTAGATGAATTTTCTTCCTCTTTAAGTTAGAGTTCTTGTGATGTTGCTAGTGTGATATTTTGAAATGTCTTTTGTGGGGAGAATACCTCTACTTTGAGAAAAGGATGTCTGGTGAATGAAAGACTTATTTTTAAAAAGGCGTTTGGAATTAAGATCTGTCTGGAGATAATGCAAATCATAACAGGGATGTGTGACGTGCTAAAATATGCGCACTGATGAGAAACACAGAAGTGAAATGTCTCTTGGAAACAGATCATTGTAGGAATTGTGGGCTAGAGCTGACCCAAACAGTCTCACGGGCCTCCATGACACATAACTGTTTTGTCTCACTAGGGAAGAGGAAATGAGACCACCTACTGGCTGACAGGGATGAGGGACCAGGAGTACAACCTGCCAACCCCTCCCACTGTGTAAGCTTCCGGATGTGGCAGGGAGGGAGAGGGGAGTGAGAGGAGTAGCCCATTTAAATTGTGAGTGACTTGCAAGTGGCAACGATGAGAAGGTTTAGAAACCTCCCTTCTCATACTTTGGAAGGCGGAGGCAGGAGGATTGCCTGAGCCCAGGGGTTTGAGACCAGCTTGAGCAGCTTGGTGAGACCTTGTCGCTACAGTAAAAAAATTAGTCAGGCATGGTGGCACACATCTATAGGTTCAGCTGCTTAGATGGCTGAGGAGGAAGGTTCACCTGAGCCCAGCAGGTTGAGGCTGTAGTAGCCGTGAATGTGCCATTGCACTCCAACCTGAGTGACAGAATGAGACTCCGACCCCCAAAAAAAAGAAAGAAAAGAAAAGAAACCTCCCCTCACAGACTGCTAAAAATTGAGTGCACTGAAAGTCTGTGTTTTCCTGAGACCTCAATGAAACAGAAAAGTATTTGGCTGTCCTGTCTGGAATACAGACTTGCTTCCACGAGTGTGTTCAGATGTGTGTTCTCAGGGAAATACTACGCTTCTTACTCTGGAGACTTATCCCAACAAGGAGCTTATATGTGGAAAAGAGAAGGAAAGAATAGACTGTCTAGAACTGGAGGAGATTTTGTTGTATTTCATTTATTTTGTTTTGTTTACTGGCTCTTTTTCCTTCTGTGTTGATGATAATTTTTAATGATTTCAAGTGTATTTTAAATTCTTTATCTCCATAAATATACTTAACTCATAATTTTTGCAGAAACTATTATATATATATATCAGTCAAGAATAAGTTAAAAGTCTCCTGAGTCTGTACTTCTATCTATTCTGGCCATTTTTCTGGAATGCATCTGTCACCATCTTGTGATTGCTGAAAAACTGACTCCATTCTCTCCAACCGAAGCATGGCACAGCAAGCATTGTGTTCCCAGCTTGCTCAGGAGAACAGAAGACACTTTAGAGATTGCCTTATGTGTGTGTGGTTCCCACAAGAATAGAGCATATTGGAGGCAAAGAGACTCTCTGCATTCCATTCCAGTCCTCATCTTTCTGTTGAGCCACCTGATGAAAACAGGACCATGCCTAGCCCCAAGACTATGGTTCTGGGTCTTAACAGGGAGTCTGTTTTTTCCTTGAAATGAGGAAGACAAGGTTTCAGGTGTAACTAACAGGTTTCAGTTCTCCTAAAGATGACTCAAGTTGCGGCAATAGATGCTGCAGCAGTCAGCCACGTGGCGGTTGCCATGGCTTTTGCTATGGTTGGGAAACCCTGTCTTGATGCCAGATCCAGGCAGATGGCAAGCTTCTAGTGAATCCAAAGCAACCCATATCTTCCCTAGGAGTGTGCCAGGTCCATTCTAAATTCTTGAAGCCCTCTACCACTCTAAGCCTTCCCCCAAATAAGACTCACACTCTCAGGTACATGTGGAACCCATGAGTTTTCACAGTTGTGTGGCATGGGCCTCACATTCTCCTGGTTTCTTTTCCCCTCCCTGCAGTGGTGTATGTAAACCTAGATCCCCTTACCGTGCCTCCAAATTTTAGCAGCATGTGGATTTTTTCTTTTGAAATTGAAGTCTAATTTTCTGCTTGAAATATATTCTGCTTATTCTACAACTCCACTTAGGAAGGAAGACAGTTTTTAAAGCTCATCAAAAGCAAGGATCATTTTCTATTCTTTGGACTTCCTATGTCCCACAGAATAGGCATTCAATGAGTAAGTGACTAGCTGAACTGGTTATTCTGGAGTTAGGGAATATTCTGTATGAATTTCTGAGAAGTTCTAATATTCTCTTCCCACCCTGTCTCCAGGGAGAATCAACAGCGTTTGCAAGCAGAATTTTCAGACATGATTGCCAACTCTTTACAGAAGAGACAGGCTGCAGGGATAATAAGGCAAAAACCAAGACGGGTAGCCAGCTATAAAAAAGGCACTCTGGAATACTTACATCTGAATACCACAGACAATGAAGGCACCTATTTTTAAACCTAAGTGAGGTGTAAGGACTCACACAAATTAAAACACAGCTGCACTTAAGCAGCAACCTCAAGCGTCTTGGCAGTTTTCATTTTCCTAAGACCTCAGTGAAACAGAAAAGTACTTAGCCTCAGCAGCCTAGTCTGGAATATAGACTTGCATCCATGAATCAGATGTGTGTTCTCAGTGAAATACCACCATTGGCTCTGCAGCCTCACCCCAACAGTTGCTCCAGGGAGCTTCCACCTGAAAAAGAAGAGAAATGAATAGACTATCTAAAACTTGAGGAGATTTTGTTCTTATTTCAGTTATTTTGGTGTTTTGTCTGTTTCTTGGCTTTTTCCTTCTGTATTCATAAAATTTTTTAATTGTCATAATTATATTTTAAATACCTTATCCCCATTAAAGTATATTTAACTCATAATTTTTTCAGAAAATATGCTATATATTAAGGCAAGAATAAAAGTTAAAAATTTCCAAGTCTGCGTATGTGCTTCTACCTATTCTGCCCATTTTCCTCGAATGCACCAATCATCATCTTGTGCTTTCTGGAAAGCTGGCTGCATTTCCTCTCACTGAAGCAAGGCAAAACTAGTGTTGTTTATGGGTAAGAACCTTGAAGGTTAGTATCACCTGCTACACACAAGGGGATTTTTGACCTTCAAGCAGAGGTGTTGCCTTGGCTTGTCCACTTAGCCATGTGCACATGTGATGTTAATAATGGCAGTGACCTAAGAATGGGATTCAGGCAAGGATCAAATTCCTGCACTGCTCTCTTCTAGCTGTAATCAATGTCTCTAAGCTCCAGATCTTTCATCAGTAAATTGTGAATCATAATAACTGCTTCATGGAATTGTCATAAAAAATTATTTGGAAAGAAACTTGTCCAACACCCAGCACAATGTCAGTAACATATTAGGTTGCCAACTAATAATCTGTCTTCCACTTTAACCCTCCCTCTATATGCTTTATAAATCAGAAGTAATAATTTTCAAACCCGGGACCTTCATGTGTGCCAGATGCACATAAGATAATTCATTTTTAATAATTTACCATATAATTTTTCAAATGTATACAAAATCTTTAATCCTAGTATATTCATCATAAGTTTTAAGAATTATCAATATTTTCCCAGTCTTGTTCATTTATCTTCCACCAACTTTGTTTTGTTAGATTATTTTAAAGAAAACTCCAAGTACTATATCTTTTACCCATAAATACCTCAATTTATACTTTTAACATGGGATTGATCAACTTTTTTTCTGTAAAGGACTAGATAGTAAATATTTTAGGTTTTGTGAACCAGACTACAATTACTCATCTCTGCTATTGTAACATTAAAGACACTAAAGACAATTGTAAGCAAATGAGCATGCTGTAAATTTATTTACTGTTTTTGATGGCAAAGACATGAGCAAGATGGTAGAATAGAAGATACCCTGATATCACTATCTTTACAAAAGCACAACTAGAAGTTATTCAAAGACTAGAATGTCACTTTGAATTCACCAGAACTTGGGAGAGAAGTGGAGAAATCCCCCTGACCCCCACTATGCCCATAGAATGTGCCTTCTCCTCTACCAAGCCAGCATAACACCACTCATGGAGAATTTCCTAGACCCAGGGTTTCTGAGGTAGGAGGAGGGAATTGGAGGGAAATGTTTGAGAATTGGAGGGGAGTGTTTTCCACCAGTCTGAGAATCTTTACCAAAAGCCTACTTTGGCCCCATCTCATGGAAAACATTGGGAGTGACAGGAAGGCTGAAACATCTTGGTGAGATAGGGACAAAAAGCAGTAGCACTGATCACAGCAACTGGTATGCAGATCTTGGCAGGTACTCTGTGCTCCAATCATCTGGAATGCCACACTAAGAAGAATGAATGATGCCCCAGTGCTGCTGGGGGTATGATCCATAGGAAAGCCTGAATTCATTGTAAGATTCACCACAAAGCAAAGGTGCTTGCATGGAGCCTTCCTCTCACCTGGAAACAACTAAAAGGTCAGGAATTAAGTTCTAGCATTTGTTGAAGTCTTCCCCAGACTGGGAAGCAACAGCAGGCCAGTAAATAAGTTCCAATATTAAGTAGTGAAGGTCTAACACCACCAAAGAACACTTGTAAAACTGAAACATGTGGCCATCTCCTTAAATGTGCAGGCATCAATGTAAAGACACAGAATTCTGAAAACTCAGGAAAATATCAAACCATCAAAAGAAACCAACAAAGCTTCAGTAATTAACTCAAAAGAATTAAAGATCTATAGAATGTCTGGAAAACTTTTAGCATAATTATCTTAAAGAAGTTCAGGGAATAATAAATATAAATAAAAAATTTAAAGAAATTTGGAAAACAAGCTGGAAACAAAATGAGACATTTAACAAATAAATAGAAACAATTTTTTAAAAATTCTTAGAAATTAAGAATACAATAACTGAACTGAAAAACCTACTAGACAGCTTCAACAGCATACTTGACTAAACAGAGAAAAATAAATCAGTGAGCTTGAAGACAGAACTTATAAAACCCAATCAGAAAAGAAAAAGAATTTAAAACAGTGAAACAGGAAAAGGTAAGAATTATGAAATACCATCAAGCAAACTAATTTCCATGTAATAAGAGTTTCTAAAGGAGATAAGAGATGTACAAACGTCTAGAAAGCATATTTAAAGAAATAATGGCTGAAACAATAATAAATAAATAATAAAAATAAAACAGTTAAGTAAGGGATGAAAAATGATAGTATTCAGGTACAGGATGCTCAGAAGTCACCAAATTCAATCCAAAAAGGAATTCCCTAAACTACCAAAAACTAGACAAAAACAAGATTATGCAAAGCAGCAAGAGGAAAGAAAATCACGCTCAACATAGCCCCGGTATAGCTTGTGGTGGATTTCTCTGAAGTAATGCTGCAGGCCAGGAGAGAGTGAGATGATGTATTCAAAGTACGGGTGGGGGGGGGCATTTTCTAGTCAAAAATACTGTACCCCAGCAAATCTATCTTTAAAACATGGAGGACAGATAAAAACTTTTTCAAATCAACAAATACTCAGGAAATTCATCAACATCAGACCTATTTTACATGAAATGTTAAAGGGAGTTCTTTAATCTGAAAGAGAAGACTGCTAATGTGTAACAAGAAAACATCTAAAGATATAAAATTCACTGGTAAAAGAATACAAATTCAGAATATTTTAATACCTTAGTTGTGGTATATAAACCACTTATATCTTAAGTATGAAGACTAAAGACAAAACTATTAAAGACAATAACAGCTACAGCAATTGGGTAGAAGGCACTATTTAGACATGTAAATTGAAATATCAAACAGTTAAAATTTGAAGGGAAGGAATAGTTTTAAAGGTAGAGTTTTGTTACTTTGCTCTTCCTTATAATAAAGTTATTGTTATCAGTTTAAAACAGCCTGTTATAAGATGTTTTATGTAAGCCTCATGGTAATCACAAAAAAACCTATAATAGATACATTGAAAATAAATAACATGAAATAAAAACATGCTATAGAGAAAAGTACTTAACCACAAAGGAGATAATAAGAGGAGAAAAAAAAAGAACAACAAAAAACCAGAAATCAAGTAACACAATATCATTAGTAAACCCCTTATCTATCAATAATAACCTTAAATATAAATGAGTCTCCAATTTAAAGACACAGAGTGGAACCCAACTATATGTTATCTACAAGAAACTCACTTCACCTGTAAAGACACACACAAACTGGAAGTAAGGAAATGGAAAAAGATATTTAATACAATAAAAACCAAAAACAGTGCAGGAATAACTATGCATATATCAGATAAAAGAGACTTGAAATCAAGAAAAGTAAAAAGCAACAAAACAGGTATTACATAATGATAAAGGAGTCAATACAGCAAGGATATAAAAATTGTAATATATATGCACCAAGCACTGAGGTAAAATGCAAAACAAATATTAGTAGGCCTAATGGAAGAGGTTGATTATAATGCAATAATAGTAGGAAGTTTCAACACCTCATTTTCACAATGGACAGATCATCCAAACAGAAAGAAACAAAGAAACATTGGAGTTAAACTGCACTCTAGACCAAATGAATCTAACAGACATTTACAGAAGATTTTATCCAACAATTACAGAATATAAATTTTTCTCACAGCACATGAAGTTCTTTAGGATATATTATATGTTGGGCCATAAAACAAGTCTTAAAAAATTTTAAAAATTAATATAAGTATCATTTCTGGCTGCAATGAAATAAATGAGACCAGCCTGGACACCATAGAGAAAGCTCAAAAAAAAATCAAGCCAGGCTCGGTAGCTCAGCCTGTAATCCCGCACCTTGGGAGGCTGAGGTGAGTGGATTGCATGAGCCCACGGGTTCGAGACCGGCCTGGGTGACTTGGTGAGACCTCATCTCTACAATAAATCAAAAAATTAGCCGGGTGTGGTAGCCCGCACCTGTAGTTTCAGCTACTTGGAAGGCTGATGCGGAAGAATCGCTGGAGACCAGTGAGTCGAGGCTGCGGTGGCCGGGAGCAACCACTGCACTCCAGTCTGGGCGACAGGGTGAGACTCCAACTCAAAAAAGAAAACAAACAAACAAAAAAATCAGACATCACAACAGATACCACAGAAATACAAATTGTAAAAGAAAGACTATTATGAACAATTATATAATACACCAATGAATTGGAAAATCCAGAAAAAAATGCATAAATTCCTGGGTACATACAATTTATCAATATCGAATCATTAAGAAATAGGAAACCTGGTACAGGCCAATAATGAGTAACAAGATTAAAGCAGTAATAAACTTTCCCATTAGACTTCTAGGACTAATGGCTTTACTGCTGAATTCTATCAAATTTTTAAAGAAACACTGAAAGCAATTCTTCTCAAACTCCCCCAAAAAATTGGAGACAAGGAATGTTTCCAAACTCATTCTTTGAGGCTAGCATTACTCTGATTCCAAAACCAGACAAGGACACAACAACAACAACAAAAGAAAACAGGCCAGGATCACTGATAAACAAAGATGTAAAAATCCTCAACAAAAATACAAAAATCAAATTCAACAGTACATTAAAAATATCATTCATTCAAATCAAAAGAATTTCATCCCAAAGATGCAAAGATAGATCAACATTCTCAGATCAATAAATGTGACACATCACAGTAACAAGATCAAAGACAAAAACTATACAATCATGTTAATAGATGCTGAAAAGCATTCAATAAAATTCAACACTCCTTAATGATTAAAAAAAAACCTCTTAACAAACTGAATATAGAAGAAACATGCCTCAGCACAATAAAGACAATATATGGCAAACCCATAGTTAACATCATAGCTAACATCATGGGTTTTTCATGAACAAAGAAAAATTGAAAACTTTTCCTATATGTTATGCAAAAAGAGAAGGATATCTACTTTTACAACATTTCTTCAACCATAGTACTAGAAGTTCTAATCAGAGCAATTAG